CTCCCCACACCTCTCCCCCACCCCTCACACCTCCCCACACATCTTCTTCCATCCCCACCTACCCCCACCCTCCCACACCTCTCCCTACTGCCCCCCCAGACCTCCTCCCCACCTCCTCCTACATCTCCCCCACCCCTCCCCTCAACACCTTCCCCCTCTTCTCCCCCTCCCACCCAGTGGCCACCCCTATTCCTCATCTTACTAGCTGCTTCATTCTGCAGCCCCTCATCGACCCCAGCCTGGCAACCACTGACCTTTCAGTTGCCTGGCAACTCCATGCCCACCAGCCTGGTCCAGACACCCCCTCTATTGCATAGGCTCCCCACTGGTGGCTTCTCTGGGGATGAAGGTGAGAGGATCCCTGTCACTGCTGGTCAGCCTAGAGTTGACACCTAAGCTCTGAAGTCTGGATATGAGATCTCCCACACAGACCCAGTTCATATACTGCCTCCTTCCTTGAAGAACTCATGCCCTCCCTGCTGATCAAGGTACTGTGCTTGAGGCCAGAAGCTCCTTGGTGACCCCCAAATCTGGTTTTCCATGCCCCTTCACAAGCTCCCAAGGCCACTTCGAAGACCTCTGGGGACACTGTTGGAAGATCCTCTACCTTTATGAGCATGCTAATTGTATTGGAAGATTAAATTGACTTATAGGAAGATGGAGATTAATTAGGGATAATCAGGATTTGGGGGAAGAAGGACATAGGTATGGAGGTATGTTTGTGAGGTGGGGTGGTGCTTGCCTATAATCCCACACTCAGGAGGCAGAGGGATGAACCTGAGTGGAAGGCCAGCCTGGGCTACATAGCAAGTACTCAGTAGGCTGTCTGTGGGTACATAGTGAGACCTTGTTTCAAAAATACAGAATAAAATAAGAGAGATGCCTTTGTTATTCTCCTTTTAATTGTATACGTAATATATCCCAATTGTTCAAAATTCAGTTCCATAAAGGAATAAAATGGATAAAGAAACCTCTCTCAGACCTGAGATTCTTGATGTCGCTGGTCTTAAGTGACTTATGTGATTTAAGTGCCAGAAATAAGATTATTTTTGTTCCTTTTCAAACTAGGTCTCACACTGTAGCCCAGTGTGAAATCCAGGATAGGCTCAAACCCATTGGCTATGCTCCTGCCTCAGCCTTTTCTGTACTGGGATTATAGACATGTACCAACATATCTGCCTGTGAAAATAAAACTATTAGGTACAGTTGGACAGCGTTTTATTTTTATTTTCTTACTCCTGTAATAACTTAAATGAGAACCAAACAGGGTGGACCATGCCTTTAGTTCCAGCACTCAGAAGGCAGAGGCAGGTGGATCTCTCTGTGCATTCAAGGCCAGCCTAGTCTACTTAGCCATTTCCAGGGCAGCCAAGGTGACATCATAAGATTCTGTCTCGAAATGAAAAAATAACAACAGGAGTTGGAGAGATGGCTCAGTGGTTAAGAGCACTAACTGCTCTTCCAGAAGTCCTGAGTTCAATTCCCAGCAACCACATGGTGGCTCACAACCATCTGTAATGGGATCTGATGCCCTCTTCTGGTGAGTCTGAAGAAAGCCACAGTGTACTCACATACATTAAGTAAATAATTTAAAATAACTAATAACAGTTTAAACCATAGAGTGTCTGTCTCGTAGCCAGGGTGGGTGCAGGGTCTGGGGCAGAGTGGCTGAGGCTGTGGACCTGGGTGAGAGTCGAAAGTAGAATCTAGAAGGACACTTGGAATAAGGAGAGACACCACCCTCCCAAGCAACAGTGGTCAGGCTCTGTGGCACCCTTCCTAGTGAGCGACCACTCCAGGTCTTTATTTTGGGAGAGGGAACAGATACTGGGAACTGAACCTAGGGATTCCTGGGGCTGTCTGGGACATCCTTCCTTACCCAGGTTGTAGAAACCTCTCAGCTATAGATTTAGGAAAAGGGCTGTCATGCTCATGTCTAGGGAATGCCAGGCAGGCTATGTTACAGCATGTGCACCACAGGTAGGGGTGGAGCTTAGCACAGTGTATTTGTGTCTGTCACACCTGGCTTTGCCTGTACACAGTTTACTTTAAATTGTGGTCAAGTTGACTCGAGGTTTCGGGAGACTCTGCGAGTTACTAAATCCTCTAAGTCAAGGCCTCTGAACAGGAACACCTCCCAGTGCTGAAAGCCTGGGGTCCCTCGTTCTCTGATTTCTCCCTGCTCCCCCTGAGCCCCTTGAACCTCATGAAGAATTAAATCCGCCGCTCACACACCCGCCGCTTAATTAATGTCTGGAACTAATGCTCCAATTTGCTCAACAATTCTGCTGTTCACCTCGGTGACAAATTTGTGTGGTTGTTGTTCGTTGGAAGCTTAAAATAGCAGGCGTGCCCATGGGTCCAACTCAGATGGTTTCTTGTATGGCTGCCCAGGGTGCCTGAGTCCTTTGCTCACTGCTTACCTGCTGGTGTCTCGGGGAATCCAAGGCCTTTAGAATCGGGAATCTTTTAGCAGCTACCCAACGAGGAGTCTGGAACCCAGGAGCCAGACCCTTTGAATGTGTGTGTGGGAGCATCTGCGTGTGCGCGCGCGCGTGTGTTGCTGTCTGGCCGGAGCTCCGGGGCCCAGATGGAGGCAGTGGCAGAGCAAGGGATGGGGGTGGGCGCTCATGCTTGGTGCCTCTCGTCCTGCCCTGCCCCTGCAGACCCGCAGCTCGCGCCATACTCAGGGAGCCCAGCCAGGGCTGGCAGACCAGGCAGCCAAGCTGTCCTACGCCTCGGCTGAGTCGCTGGAGACAATGTCCGAGGCCGAGCTGCCCCTGGGCTTCAGCAGGATGAACCGCTTCCGACAGAGCTTGCCTCTCTCCCGCTCTGCCAGCCAGACCAAGCTGCGCTCACCAGGTACTGCCCAGCCTGCTCGTCTTCCGGCCCTGCCACAGCTCCTCCCTCCGGCTTCTCCCGCCCCTCGCTTCTCCATCTCCAGCCACTCCCTCCTCTAGCGGCTGTCACCTCCCCGAAGTCCTCGCTGTCCTCAGCGCTCTTCTCCTTTGCTATACCCTAGCATCCCCTGCTGGCCCTTACGCCTTCACCCTCCTCTCTATCCAATCCCCTTTTCTTCCTCTAGGCTCCCTTCATTTCTTTCTCCCGGTGTTCTCTCCAGCCACTCCAACTTTCCCGACTTTCCCTCAGTTTCTGCTCTACCAGCTCCTGCCCCTAACCCCATTTCTGCGTCCAGACTCCAGTTGCCTGGGATCTGGTGGGTGCTCGGAGAGGCGGGCCGCGAACCGGCGGCATGAGGAGCGCGTGGGTGCACTTGCACTCCGGGGCGGCCTCTGGCCTCAGACCTTGCCATTGTGGGACTGATGCCTCTCCTGAGGACTCACCGCACTCCCCTGGGGTGAGGCGCGCTGACAGAGGCAGTGACCGTGACGGCCGCGTCTCCTTCGCAGGGGTCCTGTTCCTGCAGTTCGGGGAGGAGACGCGACGTGTACACATCACGCATGAGGTCAGCAGCCTGGACACGCTCCACGCACTCATCGCGCACATGTTCCCGCAGAAGCTCACCATGGGCATGCTTAAGTCTCCCAACACCGCCATCCTCATCAAGGACGAGGCTCGCAACGTCTTCTACGAGCTGGAAGACGTCCGGTGGGCACGGCCCCAGGGGGATGGGTGGACTTCCCCACACTCCTCTGAAGAGCTCTAGACCCCTGGTGGCCCTTCCCTAGATCAATCTGCACTCTCCATCCTTTCGCTTCCCCTGCGAGCCCTAACGCCCCGCCCTCTCTGCTAAATCTTCCAGTCCTGTGGGCTGAGGCTGTGAAAGTGTACAGGTGGAATATCTCTCTCTCTCTCTCTCTCTCTCTCTCTCTCTCTCTCTCTCTCTCTCTCTGTGTGTGTGTGTGTGTGTGTATGTGTGTGTGTGTCTGCCCTCGCCCTCTTGCATGCTTGCTTGCTGGTGAGACATCCCAAGGCACCAAGGGACACTGAGTATCGGGGTTAGGAAAGGGGGAAAGAATTGAGTGTCAGGGCCATCTTGTCTGCCTGAAGTAGCCGCTGCCCCCCCCATCGTGCACAGCTAGGGGCTACACAGTGACCCTCTGCCCCTCTCTCTACCTGATAGGGATATCCAAGACCGAAGTATCATCAAGATCTATAGGAAGGAGCCACTCTATGCTGCTTTTCCTGGCTCACACCTCACCAACGGTGACCTCCGGGTATGTGTGAGAACACCCAAGGCGCTGGTGAGACTGGGCAAGAGGGGCCTAGGGAGGATATAGAGCTAGGGTGGCTTTGGAGATGGAAGTCTGAGACAGGGTGCCCTAGTTAGTTGTGAGGTTATGTCACCCCACCGCTCACGTGCTACCTTCCCCACTGTCCACTCAAAATTTCTCTGAGGGGCCTTTAGATACTGTAAGGCCGCTCCTTTTTCTTTTCTCCTTTCTGTTCCCATCAAGGATGGGCTAAGGGTTGCCTTTCTGGTGTCTGCCTGTTTACCCATGCCGGGAGTACTGATGGACAAGGGGCCCAGGATAATACTAGGAGAGAGAAGACAGGACAGAGGTGGCTTCCTAAGTCTGGTTAGGGAAAAGAGTCAGGTTCTGGTTTCTCAAGCAAGGAGAAAGAAGCCCCCCTTTGTGACCTGCTCCATGGGCTTTTCGGGCTGTCTTCTGCTCAGAGAGAAATGGTTTACGCGTCGCGGGAGTCGTCGCCCACGCGGCGCCTCAACAACCTGTCGCCCGCATCGCACCTAGCGTCTAGCTCCCCGCCTCCAGGCCTGCCATCGGGGCTGCCTTCGGGACTGCCATCAGGCTCGCCCTCGCGCTCACGCCTCTCGTACGCTGGGGGCCGGCCGCCCTCTTACGCCGGCAGCCCGGTGCACCACGCGGCTGAACGGCTGGGAGGCGCCCCAACCAGCCAGGGCGTGAGCCCCAGCCCCAGCGCCATCCTGGAGCGGCGCGACGTGAAACCAGACGAGGACCTGGCGGGCAAGGCCGGCGGCATGGTGCTGGTGAAGGGCGAGGGCCTCTATGCCGATCCCTACGGGCTGCTGCACGAGGGCCGCCTGAGCCTGGCCGCCGCGGCGGGAGACCCGTTCGCATACCCGGGCGCGGGCGGCTTGTACAAGCGGGGTTCCGTGCGCTCGCTCAGCACCTACTCGGCCGCCGCTCTGCAGTCGGACCTGGAGGACTCGCTGTACAAGGCGGGCGCCGGCGGCCCGCTCTACGGAGACGGCTATGGCTTCCGTCTGCCGCCGTCGTCCCCGCAGAAGCTGGCCGACGTCTCGGCGCCCTCCGGGGGACCTCCACCTCCGCACAGCCCCTACTCGGGGCCGCCCAGCCGTGGCTCGCCGGTGCGTCAGTCCTTCCGCAAAGATTCGGGCTCCTCGTCCGTCTTTGCTGAGAGTCCTGGAGGCAAGGCCCGCAGCACCGGGGGTTCCTCCACGGCCGGAGCACCACCTTCTGAACTCTTCCCCGGACCTGGGGAGCGCTCCCTCGTAGGGTTCGGGCCGCCGGTGCCAGCCAAAGACACGGAGACCAGGTGAGGAGACGCTTGGCAGTATCTTCGGACAAAGGAGGTGTCCAGAGTGTCTCCCGTGTGGCAGGGAGGACATTGAAGGGAGAGGCGAAGCCTCAAGTGACGCTTCTAGAGACCCATTGTACTTAGTTCCCTAGACTTAGTTTTCCTTGCAGTAAAATGGAGCGCTGACCCAGCCCTTTCAGTGTCCGGCCCGCATTGAGAGCTGTCCAGCACATAGCCCCGCTGAAATCCACTGGCGCAGGCTCGGGATGGGGGAGGAGTTGGGCTTTTCGTGTTTGTGTTCTTGGGCCCGGGTCTTGCTGGCTGCTCGAGGCTACTCAAACTCAGTAATCCCTCTGCAACGCCTCCCCCCACCCCCCCACAACTGCTGGGATTTCAGACATATGCTGAGGTTGAGGTGGCCCTGGAGAGAAAGGCAGAGGAGAGCTATGAGTTTGATCCCGTGTGGCAGTCAGGGGAAGACTAGCTGTCCTCTAGTTGCTAATCTTAGGAGTAGGGTGGGCAGGGGGGACCACACTTTCACAGGAGGGCTTATTCCCACCCTTCTCCCCAGGGAGCGCATGGAGGCCATGGAGAAGCAGATTGCCAGCCTCACTGGGCTAGTACAGAGTGCCCTACTGCGAGGCTCGGAGCCAGAGACTCCAAGGTGAGACCCCTCTCCGCCCCCACTGTCAGGGTCTGGGCGTGAGGCAGAGATGTGGACAGTGAGCTCAATTAGAAGCCTGTGTCTACTGTGTGACTCTGATTCCTTTCTCTGTGGCACTATCCTCAGGTCAGGGAGCTGGGTGACATTTAAGGTCCCATTCAGCTTTGATGGTCTGAGCCAGTCAAGGCCCCCATGGCCATTTTCTTTTCTTTTCTCTTCCCAGTGAGAAGATCGAAGGCTCCAATGGAGCAGCCACCCCCTCAGCACGTGAGTGACCCCTTCTCTTTCTCTCAGAGTTTTAGGATTCGTTTCCTAACCCTTAACTGAAGCTTCATGTGTAGTTACATCATGGGCTATCCGCAGATTTCCACTTTATTCCTGCTAGGACTCGCCACCACTTAGACAGTCATAGCCATGTGCCTCTCTGGCTGGGTGTGGGGCCTCAAGTAGAGAGGCTCCTCCTCTTCCCTTTTCTGCCCCACTCTCCTTATGGCTCATCCTTCTGGTCTCTCTCAGCAGTGTGTGGGTCAGGCAGTAAGAGTAGCGGGGCTACTCCGGTGTCGGGCCCTCCCCCGCCCTCGGCCAGCAGCACGCCTGCAGGGCAGCCCTCTGCTGTCAGCCGTCTGCAGATGCAGACGCATCTGCGTGGCCTACAGAACAACGCTAGCGACCTGCGTGGCCAGCTTCAGCAGTTGCGCAAGCTCCAGGTACTGCTCCCTTCCCGCCCACCCACCACGCCCCTACCTACTGGCTGTGACTTCTCTCCGCAAGCGCTGCCCTAGGTTTCCCCACCATTCCGCTCCAGCGAGCAGAGTCCCTTATTGCTCAGTGGTCTTCAAACCCCTTTTCTGCCTCCCTTTCTAGTTTACACACTTACTATTAAACCTCAGACCCCCTCACCAAGCCCCGACACTTCACTGAGCCCCAGTCCCCTTCTCCATCCCTGAGCTGTGCCCTCCACTCCCTCATGCACGATCCTTTGCGGTGATCCCAGTTCCTTCAGGCCCGGTATCCGTATTCCCCGAGTCTCCTCAGCTCCCCTTTCGCGAGCCTGGAGTGGCTGTCCCGCCCTGGCTGGCAGATGGACCCACCTGTCAGGAGCCTGGCATCTTTGTGCCGGCTCTTCAAGAAGGGCTTAGAGCTTGTCAGGTGAGGATAATGAGGAGAGACAAGCTGGGAGCAGGGGCAGAGCGTTGCCATCTGGGCCACAGATATGATCTTGCCACCCACGTCAACTGGGGCACTCGTCTTGCAGTCCCTGCTTCATCGGCAAACCCTATAGACCTCAGTTTGAATCCTTCACGCTAGGTCTATTCTCCATTCAGGGCTTCTTGAAGCCACAGGTCCGCAGTCACAATGTCGTCAGGGCCTTATCTGGTGTCACTCTTTGGCCACGCAAATTCTCATCCTGTTCTCCTGCCCCTATACTCTTCCAGAATATAACCTTGATCTCCTCCCCAGCTGTCCCACCCTTCGCTGCTGCTCACAGCCATGTCGCCTTGGGTGAAGCCCAGTGTAACCTTGCCCCCTCTATGAGTCCTACCATTCCCGGCCGGGATCTCCTGCTGGGTTCTACCCAACTCTTATCTCTACCTTGCTACGCTTTCTGGGCAGCTCACACCCATAGCCCAGCAACCCAGTCTTGTGTGGAGTTTTGCTTGCGCAGGGCTGTCCTCTGCCCACCCTTCCCAACATGCGTCCTCCTCCCATCCTGTCCACGCGAGCATTCTTGCGTCCCACAGCTCCAGAACCAGGAGTCGGTGCGAGCGCTGCTGAAGCGCACCGAGGCGGAGCTGAGCATGCGCGTGTCGGAGGCGGCCCGGCGGCAGGAGGACCCGCTGCAGCGGCAGCGCACCCTGGTGGAGGAGGAGCGTTTGCGTTACCTCAACGATGAGGAGCTCATTACTCAGCAACTCAAGTAAGGCTGTGTTCCTGCCTGTAGGGATTGGGGGTGGGGAGAGGACCGGAGATGTGTCCCGGGAGAAGGGGGCACGATGCGGCCCCGGGTGAACCGGCCTGACTCATATGGGAGATACAGTTTCTTTATTTTGGAATCACAGATGACGTTTGTTGGTCTGTTCTGAAGTCTGATTTCACCCTCCAATGTGGCCTGATTTCTCTATGACCCACAAACCTTTGGCCATCTGGCATAATTCCTGATTTCTTTTTTTCTGGCTGGGTGCCTGCCTCTGCCATGATATTGCTTCCTGTGGCCTGCAGCCTACTGTCATAAAGCCAGCTGTCTGCTTTCCCTCTACCCTGTGCCTGTTTCCCTTCTGACCTAAGACCAAGGCAACTTCACCCTTGGGTTGAGCAAGAAGGTGGAGTGGCAGGGGTGTTGTCACCTGTCCAGGTGGTTCCTGACCCTTTACCACCCTGATCCCAGAGATGGAGCATCAAAGAAAACCCTTCTCAGCACGGCGAAGCTAGGCTCTAGTAGTCTTGAAGAAGGAGGAACAGAGAACAACTCAATCCTGCTTAGACACGGAAGGGTTAACAGAAGACAGTCTGATCCAGATTTAGCAAATGGCTGTCTGGCCACAATTCCATTGTCTGGCACCTGTGAAGGGAGATGGCTGCTGTTTTTCCCTGTCCATTCAGGAAGCACCATTCTCTAACCGCAGCCTTTTCTCCTGAGTTGCTATGGCTGAGGCAACAGCCCCTCCCCTTCTTGTGGTCCCTTTATTGACTCAGGGCAGTAGGGGATCCAGAGACTGCTCTGGAATCTAGGGGCTACGTGATCAAGGTAGCGGCCACCCCCTCTGTGCTGCAGCATCCTCACCAGCACTAAGACGTTTTTGCAGTTCTTGCGGAAACAGCTGAGGGCTTGACTGTACTAAGAGACTTGGAACCAGTGAGCCAAGAAAGCTGTTCTGTGGTGCTACCCTACTAAGTCATATTTGGAGCCCATACCAGGGGCTCTATGAGGAGGTCACAGCTCAGCCTGCGGGCCCAGGTAAACCTGGTATGCATTTTGGTAATGTTTAAGGTAAGGTCCTGCGACCCCATGCAGCTGACAAGCAGTGAGGAGCCATCTCACATGGAGATGAGCCAGCAGCAGTAACTCCAGCCCACCACCATGTCTGGGTGGGATGATGTAGTGACAGCCACCACAGATCATTCAGCAGACCGTGGCTGCCACGCTCTGTTCCAGGGATTCTGTTTCCTCTGCTTCCCCGGCTTTCCCTTGTCTCTTTCCATTTTGCATAGAGGAGCTGGGCCAGGATTTTCAAAAGGAGTTAGTCTGAGACATTAAAGAGAAATTAAAGGGGGAAACCATCAAAGCTCTGGGGCAAAAGAGATCAAAGGACCGATCTAAGCTCTGGTCTTCATGACTGTCTGGTCCCTGGCTTCCTGGGGGGCGTCAGTTCTCCAGGAACACAGAGAATCCTTACCCCACACGCCCATTGCTCAGCTGCTCATTGTAGAGAACCCAGGAACTGCTGGTGGGATTCCCTAGCCTGGCGTGTGTCTCTCTTGAGTGAGGCAGGGACTGGGCCCTATGTTGGTTCTGGTCTATCCTGAACCATCACCCACCTTCTGCCTTAGCCATGTGGCAATAGTCCTGCAGCCTCTGTGCAGTCACCTCCCCCACCCTCATGTTCCTTTTCCTTTGTTCCTTCCTCTTTTCTAGCATCCTGCTGGCAGTTGAGCCTGGGTTTTGGTTTTATTCCTGCTGGGCACACTCACCTGACTGTCTAGCCAAAGCCTTGGGTTCTCTCTGGATGGATGTGGTCCCCTGACTGAGGCCTGTTGCCTCTTGGAGTCTGTCTGCTGACCCGGAGCTAGCTGTAGGAAAGGGCTGGGGTTTTTTGTTTTTGTTTTTTCCCTATGTGATAGAGTGAAGGCTGGGTGGGGCAGCAGGTAGGTGACATCCTTCAGTTTGGAAGTAAGACACCACAGAGCCAGTGGCTGCAGTCCCATATGAGTACACACTGCCACACCACAGAGCAGCTGTGTGACCTTGAACTAGTTTATCTCAGAGCTTCTGCCACCTCCCCCCTTTCCAAAGCCAAACCTCAGGGTTCCTTAGTTATTTAAGGCAGATGCTTTAACAAAACGCTCCTAAGTTCTTTAATGGTTCTCAAGTAAGACTTTAAGCTGGGTGTAGTGGTGTAAGCCCGTAATCCCAGCACTCAGGATAAGGGCAGAGGGTCTTTAGTCAGGCCATCCTTAGCTACGTATATATCTTCAGCCAGCCTGGGATATGTTGAGATGCTACTGCAAAAAAGTTAATTAGAGGTGCTAGAGAGGCCGCTCAGGGGTTAATTACACTTATTGCTCTTGTAGTAAGCAACAACGACAACAAAAACCCCAGATTTAGTCCCCTGCACCCACATGGTGGCTCACAACCACCTCCGGTTAAAAGGTTCCGATGTGTGTGCTTCTGTCCTCTGAAGATACCAGGCCAGGACACAGTACATATACACACAGGCAAAATACTTACACACATAATGCTCAATAAATATATCATTCTTAAAAAACACGAAGCCGGGAGGTGGTGGCGCACGCCTTTAATCCCAGCACTTGGGAGGCAGAGGCAGGTGGATTTCTGAGTTCGAGGCCAGCCTGATCTACAGAGTGAGTTCCAGGATAGCCAGGGCTACACAGAGAAACCCTGTCTCGAAAAACCAAAAAAAAAAAAAAAAAAAAAAAAAGGAATCTTTCTTTCTTAGAAAACACTGTAGATGGTTTAGCAATGCAGTCAGCCAGGGTTCCAAACAGATGGATGTTCCGCCATGTTTAATATATACCTCCAAAGTTGCCCAGGTCATGGTTCTTCATAACCAACCAGAAGGGGAAAGAACATAGAGGGAGCTTGCCTGGCAGGTCTTTATGGGCTAGATCCAGAAACGTGTCCTTTCTGTCCCTACTTCACTGTGTAGGCCTCAGATGAGAGGCCACTCCTTACCCTCACCCTCACCCCCACCCCCACCCCCACCCCCATGCCACTTTTTTCAGAGACAGGGTTTCTCTGTGTAGCCCTGGCTGTCCTGGAACTCTCTGTAGACCAGGCTGGCCTCAAACTCAGAGATCCTCCTGCTTCTGCCTCTGGAATGCTGGGATTGAAGGTGTGTACCACTGCCTGAGTTGAAAGCCCACTTCTAATTGCAAGGAAAGCTGGGAAATGTAGTCTTTGAACCGCAGTTTGTCAGTGTGTCAGCTGAAGCAAAGTTCCCACCAACAGGATTGTTTTAAGGTTAAAATAAGGAAATGCACGTACAGGCTTGACCATCAGGTGCCAACCTGATGAACAGGAAATTCATAATACAGGGTAGTTCTTGAACCAGCAGTGCTGAATCTCAGGATTTTGTCCTTGGCTCTGCCCTGGTCTGTCTTTTCATCTGCTGGTTGGCCGCTGATGTCTAAGGCATACTCGTGTGATTGATTGATGACATTGAACTTTAACACAGAGCAGACGTGTCGGATGGTCAGTCAGATTCAAGCCATTCCCATGTGGGCTGTTGGGTTGAAATCTAACAGATGACAGGAATATATGTAACGTCCCGCATGGGAGTGAGGGATGATCCTGACACATTCATATAGGACTGTGATGACTTACCTGCCTGTAGCAATTCTTTCTCTCACTTCTTCATCCTACAGTATTTAAAATATTTAATTTGGTGCTGAGAATCGAACTCAGGTCCTCTGCAGCAGGCAGCAAGTGCTCTTAAGTACTAAGCCATTTCTCCAATCCCTCTACCTAATTTTGGAGACCAGGTCTCTCACTGACCTGTGAGCTCACAGGATTACTCATTTCTCCGTCCTCTTCCCCCCAGTGCTGAGGCTGAGGTTGTGCTGCACTGTGTTAAATTTTTAGATGGGTGCTGGGGATCTGAACTCAGGGTCTCAGGCTTGCCCAGCAAGCACTTTCCCCACTGAGCCATCTCCTTGGCCTCCCTCCCACCCATACATGGTGCCTTGGTTTGCATTTCTTGGGCTGTTCATTTGTTTTGAGGCAACATCTTGTTGTAGCCCAGGCTGGCCTTAAACTTGTGATCCTGTTCTCCCAGCCTCCTCAGTGCTGAGATTACAGGCTTGCGCCACTGTACTCCGCCCCTGATTTTAGGAAGATGTGGGGTCATAAGTGTTTACAGTGAGCCGGCTGGAAACACGAGGCGGTTTTGGCCTCGGGAAGACAGGCACTGTGACAAAAGATGATGCGTATGGCCGTGTCCTCAGACTGCAGCTGCCTCTAGGCCCTGTGAGACTCTGTGTGGCCTCCAGGTTCTCCACTGTGCCTGGGGAAGAGTCTGAGGTTTCACACTGAGGGACAGACGAGTGCTGATGTGGCTGTAGATTACAGCACATGGGGAGGACTCCTTTAAGGAACTATTTGAAAATCTCATCTTTGAAATCTAGCATTTCCGATTTCATATGGGCACACAGCCTGGGGAAAGGCTTTTTTTTTCTTTAGAATTATTTATTTATTTATTTTATATATGTGAGTACACTGTCGCTGTCTTCAGACACACCAGAAGAGGGCATTGGATTCCATCACAGATGGTTGGGATCCACCATGTGGGTGCTGGGAATTGAACTCAGGATCTCTGGAAGAGCAGTCAGTGCTCTTAACTGCTGAGCCATGTCTCCAGCCCTGAGGAAAGGCTTTTGATTTTGTGGTTCTGTTTTGTTTGAGTCAGGGTCTTATTATGTAGCTCAGGCTGGCCTCAGTCTTTCAGCAATCCTCCTGCCTCAGGTTTCCAAGTGCTAGGATTACAGGAGTAAGCCATTACACCTGGCTATAGCTTTTAATTTTGATCTGATTGGTGACATGATTTCTTTCCAGCTGCTCAATTTCAGGGGGCTAGGCTGGGGCCAGAGGGGCTGAGAAGGGTCTCTCTGTGCCTGCAGTGACCTAGAGAAGTCAGTGGAGAAGATCCAGAGGGACGTGGCCCATAACCACCGGCTGGTGCCAGGTCCTGAGCTGGAGGAGAAGGCACTGGTGCTGAAGCAGCTTGGGGAGACGCTGACAGAGCTCAAGGGTGAGCCTGCCCTGGCAAGGGTGACCCTGGGGGGGGGTGTCCCTGCTGTGCCCCAGTTCCTCTGTCTGCCTCCCCAGCCAGCTTACCCCTCCTGCCTCTCAGCTCATTTCCCAGGCCTGCAGAGTAAGATGCGGGTAGTGCTTCGTGTAGAGGTGGAGGCGGTGAAGTTCCTGAAGGAGGAACCTCAACGCCTTGATGGACTTCTCAAGCGCTGCCGGGGGGTCACCGACACGCTGGCCCACATCCGAAGGTCATTGTCTTTAGTTTCCCATGGGGTTACACACTGGGCCCAGACCCCCTATCCTGACTCCTCGGAGATCACTGTGTGCCAGCTAGATCTGCCTTTCAATTCCGTCTCACGACCCAAGCATGCAAAAGCCTTGGCTTTCCCTCACAGGCCTCTCTAGGCTCTCCCATCTCTTCTGCAAGATCCCAGAGCCTTCCTGACATTGGCAGGTTCCCCTCCCAGGGCTACCACCTCTCATGAGCTGCTCCTCACTCTCCCAACTCTAGGCAAGTGGATGAGGGCGTGTGGCCTCCCCCCAACAATCTCCTGAACCAGTCCCCCAAGAAGGTGGCAGCTGAAACAGACTTCAGCAAAGGTGTGGATTTTGAGATACCACCCCCGAGTCCTCCACTGAATCTCCATGAGCTGAGTGGACCTACGGAAGGCACCCCTCTCACCCCAAAGAGCAGCAACCCCACCAAAGGCCTGGATGCTCCCGGCAAGAGAAACACCGACAAAGCTGTGTCTGTTGAGGTGATGGGCCAGGGCAGGGCATGAGCTAGGCTCACAGTTCTTGCTATCACTTGGAATGTCAGGTACTGGAGGAACACATGGGCCCTTTTCCTTAGGAGGAGGGTCAGAAGTCTGAGAAGTGTAATACTGGGGACATGCACCGTTCTCAATAGAAAACATACTATAAAGCTATAATAACTAAAGCGGCGTGGCACTCACATAAACACATGTTGGGTGGTCAATGAAACAGAACAGAATGTCCAGAAATAAACCTAATAATGTTGTATCTGGTTGGAGTAGCCTCTGAGCTTTATAGACAAGTGTGTAGCACCCAGTGGGAGGGGCTGAATCTCATAAAGTTCTCTTCTTCTTCTAAGCACAAGTGACTGGGGAAGGGGCTGATCCCAGGAGCTCAGGGGTTCATGAGCCAGAGTCCTGACATCAGCTCTGCTTCCCCTCTCAAGGCTGCAGAGAGAGACTGGGAAGAGAAGCGGGCAGCTCTGACCCAGTACAGCGCCAAGGACATCAACCGACTGCTGGAAGAGACCCAGGCCGAGCTGCTCAAGGCCATCCCTGACCTGGACTGTGCCAGCAAGACCCACTCTGGCCCTACACCCACTCCAGACCACAAGCCCCCTAAGGCACCTCATGGTCAGAAGGCAGCCCCCCGGACAGAGCCCAGTGGGAGAAGAGGATCAGGTATGGGGATATAAGGCCCCAGAGGCAAAGAGCCCTATCCTCAGAGCTTGGCTTATGGGGGAAGCACTGGAGGGCGATTGTCATGGTAGCCAGGCACCAGAGAATGGGATGCTAGCCATTAGTAATCACTAAAGGGACAGGACACAGAATGACAGGGTAAGCTGGGGTCCGTCCAGTTTTCTCCCCTCTGCTGCTGAGAGGCTCATGCAGGGGACTAGAGTACATCCAAGCCCACGCTGCCTGAGAGAGAGACAGGCTGCTCTGAGAGCAGTCTATTCGGATATTGCTGACCACTATGACAGGGCAGTGATCGCCAAGCCTGTCAGATGGCAGGAGGCAACATCTGAAAGAGGGGTACTGCCACCATTGCTGCCAGCAACCCTGACTGTGAAGAGTGCTTCAGGGAGCTCAGAATTTATACATACATATATATATGCACGCATATATATATATATATGTGTGTGTGTGTGTCTTTTGTCTGCATGTATGTCTGTGTACCACATATGTGCTTGGTGCCTGAGCAGGCCTGAGAGTGTCATATCCCCTAGAAGTGGAGTTACAGATGGCTGTGAGCCACCATGTGAATGCTGGGACTCAAACCTGGGTCTGGGAAAACAACCAGTGTGCTTAAATGCTGAGCCATCTCTTCAGCCCCCGGATTTTTTTAATTTAAAAGATTTTTTAATTACCTTATTTGTTTGTGAGTGTGCATGTGTGTGTGAATGAAAGTGCATACGTGACAGGGGGCAACTTGCAGAAATTGATTATCTCCTTCCACTGTGGGATCATGGGATCAGATTCAGGTCATCAGGTTTGTACAGCTGGCCCCTTTAACCTCAGAGTCATTTCTACTGGCCGTGGTTAGAGTTGAACGGTGGGACAGGCCCCTGACATTGGTCAGGCTCTTACATGATGCCTTCCCAGTGGGTCCTAATGATTTTGCAGCAGCAGCAGAAGGCAGACACAGTCATTCTCTCTTTACAAAGAGGACAGACTTCACATGGTTATATAATCTGTCCCAGGCCACATTTCGTGTGTCCATAGAACAAAGAGGCTAAGTGCATCTCCTTCCTGAGCTGGGCTGGAGCTGTACAGTCTTAGAGAGGAGGAGAGTGTGTTCCACTGGACCATTAGAAATGAGCAGGCGCTTTCCAGCCAGTGAGCTCACCTTCCAGGGGGCAGCGTGGTGAGCGCAGGGGAGGCGTGCCTTTGCCTGGACAGGGTCCAAGCTGGGTCTTAATACAGAGCAGGGGTGAGAGGTTGTGGATGGTGCTGGACTAGGAACTTGCACTGTTTGGGTTGGTGGAAAGCCACAGAGAATCAAAGGCAAGGGCCTTATGGTTTGAGTGACCTTTCCGAGGGTTGCCATGGAAACCAGGCTGGAGGATAGCAGAGCAGGGAGCAGGGAGCAGGGAGCAGGGAGCAGGGAGCAGGGAGCAGGATAGGCTCCCTCAGAGAAAGGATGGAGCTCTGAGTTGGGTGGGGCTGGGGAGCAGCTGTGGTCATGAGACAGAATGGCAAGAGTCCCAGGCTTGTATGTTAAGGGCACTAAGGTACCCATGCTCAGTCAGCAGCTCCAGGTAAAGGGCCTCCCAGATGCCTCAGTGTTCCCGGCTCACAGTCAGGACTGAGCAGCTGAGGGCTGTTGGAGGAAGAGGGGCTAGGTAAGCCGCTGGCAGGCATGGGGAAATGGAAAGGAATGGATCCTGTCTTCTTCCCTGCCCCTGAGCTGTCCTCTTGGTCATTCCTGGAGGAATGAGCACTTGTGGATACTGCGGTGGTGGGTTCCTGACCCCAGATCCCCGCTACTTGCAGATGAGCTCACAGTGCCCCGATACCGCACAGAGAAGCCCTCTAAGTCACCCCCACCACCCCCTCCCCGCCGGAGCTTCCCTTCCTCCCACGGCCTGACCACCACGCGCACCGGAGAAGTAGTGGTCACCAGTAAAAAAGACTCGGTCTTCATCAAGGTACAACTCTCGATGGGTGGGGCTCAGGGGACTTGAAAGAGAAGCTTGAGGGGACCTCTGAGAGGATGGGAGTCAGTCAGTGCAACTCAACTTGACTTCCAGCTTGTGTGTGGTTCTGATTCCACAGCAGGCCCTGTCAGGGTCAGGGGTGGGTCTTCCTGGCAGGGTGTGGTCAATCACTTCGGGAGGGAGGGAGGAAGGGAGGGAGGGAGGGGAGGGGGGAGGGAGGGAGGGAGGGAGGGAGGGAGGGAGGGAGGGACCTGGGCTTGATAGGTACCTGGCTTTACAGAAGGCTGAGTCTGAGGAGCTGGAGGTCCAGAAGCCGCAGGTGAAGCTACGCCGTGCTGTGTCTGAGGTGGTCCGCCCCGCCTCCACGCCGCCCATTATGGCGTCTGCCATCAAGGACGAGGACGATGAGGAGCGGATCATTGCTGAGCTGGAGGTAGGTCAGGCGTGACTGAACAGGGCCTCAGCCAGGCCAGGTTCCCTGCCAAGCCTTTGCTAGCCCCTGGACTCATTCTTCTTAGCTTCCATTTCTTCTCCACCGCGAAGTGGAAAGTGAGTCTAAAACTGGTCCTGGTAGGTTTGAGTTTTCATTATGGTCTCTCAGATTCTCCCAGGGACCCCAAGATTGAAAGCCCCAGACTTGCATATTTTTACTGAGACCCCCACCCAGGCAGTCTTGAGGCTAGCCCATGCTCCAAACCCCTCAAGCTTCAGAATCCTGGAGACCCTCATGCCAAAGGGCCCAGACTCATTGCATTAGTACAAGCCACAGTTTAGAGGGTTCCCAGAAATCTTTGCCCTGTGTCTGAGTCCCTGGATATCAGGGTCCTTTGGAGGAGAGACTCAAGGTCCAGCAGGTCAGTGACCGTGGTGAGGTGCCAAGGTGTGAGACCGGAGCCCATGGCCCTCCTGGCCCACGCTCGCATAGGTGCCTAGGTACTCAGCTGGCACCTGGGTCCTCCAAACCTGCCCCTGCCTTCTGCTCCCCAGGTGTTTGAAAGAAGTTCAGTATCTTCCCTCCCCCCCACGCCCCGCCGCCAGCCGATCCCCATCTTGCTGTCCCCCCAGGACATGGGGTCCCCTGGGGGCTCAGCTCTGGGCTCCCCACGGAAGGTAACGGGCCTCCCTGCACCTCTCACGGCTATCTCTGCCTGTTCCTCCACAGCTTCCTTTCTGCATCTCTCACGCTAACCCGCTAACACGCCACCCACGCCAGCCCCTCTGCCACAGCCCCAGCTTCACGCTCGCGGGCTCTCACCCCCCCTGCACACGCCAAGGGCAGCGCACAATTGCACAATCTGTCCCTCCCCAAGGTTTCCTGGAAGTCTTCTTGGAGACTGCAACCTGGGTATTTGGTATGACCCAGGAGTTCTCTTACAGGCCCGCTTCTGTCTGTCTCTTGGGTGTTTTGTTCCCATTAGCAGCCTGAGTTTAGGCTGCATCCAAAGCCTGTGAGTTGTCTTGGGGCCAAGACTGGAATCTGGATCTTGTTCAGGAACTGATGTAGGGTCAGGCTCAGTCTGACCTTGTCTTGAGAGCTTGCCTGATACCTGCCTTTTCTACCTGCTCTGCTGCACACGCCAGGGAAGGTGCTCTGCTTCTCCCACTGCACTGGGGAGTCAGGGAGAGACCAGGGAGATGGTTATCCCAAACCTCTCCCTGCCCTGTGGCCATTCTTGCCATGGTCAGGGAGCTTGGAAATAAGAGAAGCCACGCCTTCCTTGGCTGCTGGTTTTCTCTTTCGGCATCGGGATGTTCTTCTAACTTCAGCCCTAGCTGCTGTCCTGCTGCACTTATTTCCTTGTGGGAACGGGAGGGGTGGGCCTGCTGTCTGCGCTCTAGGGGCCTGTGCTTGAGGAGGGGGATGGGAAAAGGTCTGGGCATCTCTCCTCCTGCTCTGCCAGGTTGGGGTAAGAGGACCTCGGTTCGGTTCTCCACTTCTCATGCGCACACCCTCTCTCCCCTTCCTTGAGTGGTTCTTCCCAACCCACAGTGGGGTCCATGATGACAGCCACCAGCCTTGTGGCCTGGCCTGAGGCCTGGTGGTCTTGGGTGACCTGGCAAGGGAGCAGACAGTCATCAGAAGGTGGACAGTGCTGTGTGCAGCCCCAGGAGTCTTCAGGGGCTGAGCAGTGTGAAAGGGACACTTCCTGACTGGCTTTGTCCTCAGCACTCAGCTCTGCTCCTTTCTGGTTCTGAGGCTCAGTTATGAGGGGACCCAGCAGGCAAGGCCCTTTCCCTGGCTTCCCCTCTGCATCCCGAAATGCTGTCAGGCGGAGGAGCCTGTTGAGCCGGGGCCCTCCCTGCCTTCCCTGCTGTGTGCACCTACTTCCAGGTAAGCAGTGGCAGGGCTGGGTGGTTTGCTTTGGGAGGTAGAGGAAGGGGGTCTCAGTTTGTTTATCAAAAAGAGCACTGGACTTGAACTCAGGCTGTTTGGGTTCAAATCCTGGCTCTACTACTAACTGAGGATCAGACAAGTGTGAGTCCTGTGCTGCTCCTCACCTGTGAAGTGGGGACAGGGAGAGTGACAATCAATGTCATGGGTTACAGAAAACATTGACGATGAAGACATAAGCTGTAATGTCTAACATGGGCTGGTACTTAAGAGTGCACGCAGAATTCACTCAGGTTCACAGGGCCCTTGAGTTCTCCGGGCCTTAACCAGAGCCAGAGCCAAGGTGCTCACACAGAAATGGGTGCTTAGCTGGAACATTGCCCAGTGTCTGAGACCAAGGAACTGGCCATGGCCGAGCACCACCCCTTCAAAACCGAGTTCACTGGGAACAGAGGAGGGGCTGGGGGCTCACAGGTGTAAGACCAGGAGCTCAAGATGAGGACGATGCCCCATCCTTGAGGTAGAAACCAGTATCCGCTTGCTCTCTGCGCATACAGCTGAGGTCTCAGTTATTTGGTTCAGTTCATCCAGTAGCTTGTATTTGCTCAAATGATACCAGACACGCAGTAGAGCGTCCTCGCTGCTTCATTTGCTGCACAACCCATATTACTGTTGTGTAGTGCCTGAGGTTTGCTCCCAAGTGTAACCTGGGTATCGGGGAAGGCACACATCTTACACTCCTGCATGAAGCAGGAGGCCGTGGGCTGTGGGGGACACCTGCACTCTAGGCTCAGCCTTGTTACCAGTTTATTGGGCAGCAGCATCAGCACCTCGACTGACTCCGTTTCCCCATCCAGGAGAGGAAGGGAGTGGACTCATCTATTAGCCTCATCCCACCTCAGGCTTCCCTCTGCAGGGATCACACTCTCCCTCATTTTCTGTCCCTGCAGGCTGCCTCAGGGCCCAGGGTCTTCTGTGTCCCTCAGATCATCTTGACAGAATGCACTTCCAGCTCTCCCACTCTGCCAGAGACCACCTTAGAGAAACTGGGTCCCAGGACAGTCCCCACACCAAGACCTCGGACCCTGGCTGGCAGTGGGAAGGCTTGGAACGGTCCACAGGCCTTGCTGGGACTAGCAGATGAGGTATTCTGGCCCAGAAGCAGCTCAGTGTCTGGAAAGGAACCAGCAATTCTACCAAGCCCACACAGCGTGGAAGCCAGGGTTCTCTATCTTCGGGGACCATCCCCGGATGAGACCCAGAAGACTCTTACAGTTGAGACCTACTCAGAAGAGACCCTTCAAAACTCTAAATGTGACACTCAAGCTTGCAGTAGGGGACCACGGGCCATCGGCACGGGCAGCACAGCACAGGATGCTACCCCGAGACGGATGGACAGCCTGGAGGAGACACTTCAGGAACTAGAAGCCACCCTGAGCGAGATGGGCGCCAAATCGATTATGACGTGTTCAGGCAGCCCCCAACCCCTCCGTCCCCACCCCCAGGTGGCTGCCATCCTCCTCTTCTCCCGTGCTGCCTTCCTGCTCCAGCCTCTGGGCCTGCAGAGTTGGGGAGCAGGGCCACAGGAGCTCTGCCCACCTCCCTCATCCCATGTCTAGATTTCAGCCTACCATGCTCTGGGAGCCTTCATCCAGGCCAAGGCCTATGGGCAGAGCCAGGGGCGGCCGGGAAGCCGGCCCACCCAGGACTCAGCTCTGCTACTCGGGCATGAACCAAGTGTGCTCTGTCCCTGTCTGCTCTCTGTAAGCCAGAGAATAAAGCTTTCTCCTCTCTCCCACCCCCTCCCCCCTTCCTGTCTCTGTCTCTTTCTGTCCCTGTCATTTCTCTTGCTTGCGCCTCTGGGTCCCCCCTGGGGAAGGGCTATACATGAGGGGGTAACTATAGGGGGCTAGATGTGCTTAACTCTGGGGGGAGATTTCTCTTCTTACCTCCTGCTCTGGGGGGGGTGATGTGGACCTGGGGATGCTCTCTTATTAGAGGACCCCACCCCCCTCAGTTCCAACTCTGTCTCCTGGACAAGGATGCAATCCTTTGCTGGGAGTTAAGTGGTACTGGGACCTTCCCTATCCAAGCAGCTTCCTAGGAAGGTACCAGCTGCCTCTGGACTACTTTGGAAAAGTCATAAATGTGCTCTGACCTAGGACAGGGCCTAGCCTGATCATCTGAAGGGAGGCCTTGAACCTGGGCTCGGAGGGGACTTAAAGCTTGGATGGTTATGTAGAATCAGAGAGGGGTCTCCAGGCCTCCAAGAGTCCGCTTAAGGAGGTCCTAACCCTAGAGCCCCCCACCCCCCAGTGCTTAGAGTTCCACACAGGACTGTTCCACCCCAGCCCTGTCTCTCTTTCCACAGAGTGGTGGTGGCAGCGTGCCACCCATGAAGGTGGTGACGCCCGGAGCCTCTCGGCTGAAGGCAGCCCAGGGTCCAGCAGGCAGCCCTGACAAAGGCAAACACAGCAAGCAACGAGCGGAATACATGAGGATCCAGGCCCAGCAGCAGGTGAGGGTGGAATTCCAGACACCCAGGCCCCTGGAGGGTCACACACCAAGGCTCTGCTATGTGCCTCTGTCTTAATGATAGTTCTGATTCTTCTGATTCTCGCTCTGTCATGACGTTCTCCGTTTTGTTCCTCCTCGTGGGCTTAGTGCTTTGGATCTGGTACAGACACGAGTCCCTGAATTCGTAGCCAGTCTCCTGCTCAGGGATAAAGGAGCCTCACCCCCTGCCTTGTGCAGGGCTTGCCCTGTGCAGATTCACTTCCTGCTCCAGTGGTTGGGTCACTTCTGAAGCCTGCACCACAGCCGTCTCACCTCTGCTCCTGTGCAGGGCTCCCACCTGCTCTGCACCTTTTCGTCCTCCCTCAGCTCAGGAGGAAGCTGTGTCAGCATTCATGTTTCAGTGGCAGGTTGGGGGCTCACAGCCTGTAAGGCCCACTGGGTGTGGTCAGGATCCCGTAGATATAACAAGCCACTTGGATTCGTAGGTTTGGAGTTGACAGAATTCACCCATGCTATCTAGGGCCCTAGAGTTTGCTCCTCTGGTCTGCCTGGTCAGAGAGTAGAGGAGGGCCCTGGATGTAGCTATTGAGAGCCCCTCAGTGCACATACTCAGTTCAAAACCTCTCCTGAGTAGCTAGCTCTAATGTGCCAGGGCTGTTTGGAGTCTCCGGTAGGCCTTGACCTGTCCAGATAGAAACCCAAAGCTCAGAAGGATAAGGTTAGGGATGGCCAAGGCTGGCCACGAGGGTCAGCTCATAGCAGGAGAGAGACTTCCCAGACCTGCATAGCAAATGACATTAGAACCAAGACTGAGACTTAGCTATCTTAAAACCCCTTCCACCACAGGCCCCAGATAGCCCTGGGCAACAAGACCTGTATACCTGCTCCTAGGAAGACAAACATTCAGTTGTCCCCCAGCTTTTCTTCCCCAGGCCCCACTTTCTCGTGGTCCCCAGACTCACCCAGTAAGACCCATCCCCCCAACTCTTTTCTGTGACTGCAGTAAGTGAGGACCTCTTGTCTTGTCTGGGGTGGTGGTGAGGGTCCCTTCATTTCATGCCCAGAAAAGCAGCTGTTAGCTATGGGATATTGACACATGTCAGGCACATCCAGTGTCTGTTTCACAGCAGTCTGAGGTAGAACAGGTGAAGAGGCAGAGACAGGGTGGAAATCTGACACCTGACAGACCTCTGCCTATGCCATGCCTGCTTCTACCCATCAGGACCCCACCCCGCCGCCACCCCACCACCACTGCAGTTACACGTCACTGCCCTTGTCTTGTCTTGTAGCTCCCTGGAAACCCAGGCCCTGCTACCTGCTGCCTGGTGGGTCAGCTCCACACATTCCAGGCCTGACCCTTCTCCTCAGCCTTCCCACCTCCCTACAGGGAGTGGCAAGGCCTCCAAGGGCCATGCTAGCTCTTTCCTCCTCCTTACCTCTGGGTAACATGGCTGTCACCCTACCTATGCCACTGTGTGGCCCCTCCCTGGCTTGGTAAACCCCAGGTCTCAAACATCAGTCCCTCCCCATCCTGGGTCCACTCTGAACCTTGAAAGCTCGTATGAAGCTTCGAGCTGGACGGTGCATTTTCTTGTATGCCCGTGGTCCAAGACTGGTCTTCTGTGGAGGAAAATCTACTGGAGGTCATGGTCCTCCTGCCACAGGCTCTTGGATGCTGAGGTGGAATCCAGGGTTCCGCAGCCTTGGGAGGGAGGAATATGGAGCTCTGAGGGAGGAAGGGGACGCCCACCCAGCCAGCCAGATCAGCTGTCACAGCCCGTCAGCCACATGCCTGGCTCCTTTCTCTTCATCGTTACCCGGCCTGCCAGGCCACTGAGTGGGCTCCTCGCCTCCAGCCCTCTCTGTCAGTGTTCCCAGCTCCTCCACTGTCTGTAGGTGAGAGCATGCCCAGTTGTAGGCCCCTCAGGAAGCACCACCCAGGCCCCAAACCCCACAGTTCCTGGACTCCATGGGGCCCTTCCTGCCCCTCCCCACCCCAGGATGGGCCCCAACCCACCCTACTGCCCTTTGCCAGGCACTCCTGTCTCCTGTGCTATGCCAGGGTCTGTCTGCTTTCTGGCAAAGCGAGACATGTTTCTTAGGAATTTTCTTTAAATAAAGAAAACAATAAAAGAACCAGTGTGGGGAGGTTTGGCTCAGTGGAGGATTGCCTGTTTAGTAGGGGGAGGCCTCTAGCACTAGAAAAACATAACAAAACAATCAAAACAACAACAACAACAAAACCAATGTAGTGTCACCACCAAAATGTGTGGTCTCCTACGGTCATCTGTGACTGCTGCTATCTTTTATTGGTCTTCTAAGACCTGTGAGGACGTTCTAAAATGCGTATTTGATGTGTGCTCACACACACAGCAGTTTAGTCTATGCTCGCAAACCCCAGCTTGGCTCTCTTCATGGCTGCCCAGCCTACACAGCTGTTTGGGGTAGGATCCAGCATAAGCATATGCTCCGGTCACCTGTGTCACTAAGACAAGCTCTGACTCAGTTTCCCAGTCAGATCTTGGCTTGGATTCTGCCTCAGCAGCCTGCATGGGTAGAATGACAGGCCTGTGACACTGGACCTGGCCTCACAGCTCTGATGTCACTGAGATTAAGGGAGCTAGACGGGGTGGGGACCCGGGACTCAAGTGTAGGAAGAAAATTCGAGACGGGAGTGCATTATAACAGACATGACACAGGCCTGGAGATAACAGGAAGAGCCCTTGAATGTTGTTTGTAGGATCTATGGTGGGTGAGGTGGGAACTGGATCCCACGTCAAGGGTTTGGTGTGGACATGGAATTATGGAACCTCTGTAGGCCAACCGCTTACTCTCACTTTTGATGGCTCTCGTGAAGGAACCAGCAGAGTGCTGAGGGGATACTGAGTCAATACTGAGACCAGAGACTAATGGTAGCTGCAGCTGCGGGGACGCTAGGGGGAAACTGAGGGGGTAACAGGAGAGTACTGTTCCTGTTAGTATCTGGGTGGCGCCAGAAATGGCCCGGCTAAGGCACAACTGGGCGTGAGGCGCCAGCTTGACTTAACCCCATTTGGAACCGCGAGTCAGGTCCTGGAGGGACAGGTGTCTTGGAAGAGCCTGAAGAGCAGACGCGCTGTGGTCTAGCAGCATGCTGCCATGGCCTCTGGGTCCAGAAGTGTCCCACCTCTCCCAGAGCAGAGCGGAGTCTCTCTGTGGCTCCTGTCTCATCACAAAGCTGGGGGAAGTTCTGTTTTTCTCATCAGAATCAAAACCCATGGTGTGTAGGGAAGGCTTGGAGAGATGGCTCAGTGGTGAAGAACAATGGCTTCTCTCCCAGGGGACCCCGTTCAATTCCCAGCACCCACATAGTGGCTCACAACCACCTGTAGCTCCAGTTGCAGGAGATCTGATGCCCGTTTCTGACCTCCATGGGCACCAGGCATGGATGTGGTGCACAAACATACATGCAGGCAAAATGCACATGAACATAAAGTAAATAAATCTAAAAGAAAGAAAGAAAGAAAGAAAGAAAGAAAGAAAGAAAGAAAGAAGGAAAGAAAGAAAGGAAGAAAGAAGAGAGAAACCAAACTGCCCATTGGCAAGTGAAGTGATAGAAGCCACCTTACCTGTTCCCTTTGCTACAGCAAATCTTGTTTGGGGCTACAGTCGGGGATCCCCAGATGGATGGAAGCTGGCTTTTTGTTTGTTTTGTTTTATTTTGTTTTTTTTTCTCAAGTCAGGGATTCTCTCTGTACACCATGCTGGAACTCTCTCTATAGACCAGGCTGACCTGGAACTCAGAGATCCACCCGCCTCTGCCTCCTGAGTGCTGGGATTAAAGGCGTGCACTACCACCACCCAACTTAGTATTTCATTAATGTGCATGTGTGTGAGCCTGTGCGAGCGTATATGCACCTGTGCAGCACATGTGTGCAGGAAAAGGCATGAGAACCCCTCTGTCTAGAGTTACAGGTGGTTGTGAGCTGCCGTGTGGGTACTGGGAACTGAACCCAGGTCCTCTGCAAGAGCAGCAAGCACTCTGAACCGCTGAGCCATCTCTCCAGCTCTGAGAAATAACTTTAAGTGGGAGATGCTAAGGTGGTACCAGAAGGGATGGGGCGGGGACAGCAGGCTGAACCCAAAGTGAGTGGCAGAGGGCACATAGGCACCTGTTTTATGAGTTTGTCCCCAAGCCCAGGTACTACTCTGGAGTCAAGGGAGAGCAGGGTCATGCCTGGCCCATGGTGATGGACAAAGAATGCTGTGGGGTAGGACGGTGACTGATGACATGGACCACAGTAGAGGAGACACAGAAGGGGAGGTACTGGCTGCCGGCTGCAGCTTGGTAAACAGTGTACGAATCACGGACGGACTCGATGCCTGCTTGATATCAGGAACCTGGGACAGGTTACTGGGGGCCACATGGTTCTCTTTTTTGCTTTTCTTTCTTTCTTTCTTTCTTTCTTTCTTTCTTTCTTTCTTTCTTTCTTTCTTTCTTTTTCTTTCTTTTTTGGCTTTTCCAGACAGGGTTTCTCTGTGTAGCCTTGGTTGTCCTGGAACTCTCTCTGTAGACCAGGCTGGTCTTGAACTCAGAAATCCACCTGCCTCTGCATCCTGAGTGCTGGGATTAAAGGTGTGTGCCACCACTGCCAGGCTATCTTTTTTTCTTTAACATGGCTTTTGTTGTTTGTTTGCTTTGGTTTGTTGAGACAGGGTTTCACTATGTAGCCCAGATTGGGCTGGACTTTGCCATATCCTTACTTTAGCCTCAGATTTTTTTTAGCTTTGCTTTGTTTTGTTATTTTTTTCATTTTATGTGAGTTGGTGTTTTTCCTGCATGTCTGTGTGACGGCAGTTACAGGCAGTTGTGAGCTGTTGCATGGGTGGTGAGAATTGAACCTGAGACCTCTGGAAGAGCAGTCGGTACTTCTAACCACTGAGCCATCTCTCCAGCCTTTGTTCTGGTTTTTAACCAAGGCTGTTCATTTATCACACTGATAGCTAAACTCCAGCCGAGTCCCTGGTTACAGCTACAGACTTCAAGGCTACCTGACTTGGGTGTCATCATCCTCCAGTAGTGACACCTGCTTAAAATGCACTTTCCTACCCCAAAAGTAGAGATGACTCTGGAAGGACTCCCAGAAATATGCATGTGACACAGGCTACAGAATATCTCGTGGAGATGACACAGGTGGCTCTTAAGCCATACTTTGGAGGCCATGGCTCCAAAGAACAAACCTGGAATATAAAAGAAGTAAGGAGGGCATTTGCACGCGTGTGCGCAGGGGCTTCTGACTGGGAGGCTAGCCTGGAGCAGAGCTTGTGCCTCAGAGAATTGCCTCCAGCTACCTTAGGGGCACTGGGGGGTGGGTGGGCCCGGGGCATGAGCAGGGAGGGCCACAGTGGGGATCCCTGAACTGGGAGGGATCCTAGTGGTGGCAGGTAGCTACTCCCAGTTTCCAGATGGGGCTAGCTCACTCCAGCTTAGAGCAGGGGCCTTCTGGTGAGGACTGGTCTCCCACAGGGGCCAGAGGCAGGACTTTTACCGCTGGGCTGAGCTACTGACCCCATCTGCCCTGGCATCCCTGTTGCTACTAACCATACACTTCTTCTCCCTCCCTCACCCGCCCTCCCACCCCTTGTCCTCTCTGCCTGCCCTGGGCTGGGTCTCTCTGGTGTCTCTTCTGTCTTCTGTCTTTCCTCTCTCAGTAACCATGGACTGAACCCACCCCCCAGTCTGCTTTCCAGGCCTTTGATCCAACCCCATGGCTCCCCTCAACCTTCTCTGTGCCCTGCCGACACACTTCCCCACCCTGTCCCCCCCCACCCCCCCTAGTTCAGAGGAGTGCTCTCTCCAGCCGCCCGGCCCCTCTGTGTTCTCGCTTTTGCAGTTAATTTTCTCTCGGACTTGTGGAGTTCCCCATTTTTCAACACTTCAGCCAGGAGCCAGCATGGAGGCTCTGCTTTGCTCTCTCTGACCCCTGACCCCTGTTTTTGTTCCAGGCCACTAAACCATCTAAAGAAATGAGCGGTCCGAATGAGACCTCAAGCCCCGTCTCAGAAAAGCCCTCTGGTTCCAGAACCTCCATCCCTGTATTGACTTCCTTTGGGGCAAGGAATTCTTCCATCTCCTTCTAGAAGCCCCTCATGCAACACCCCAGCCTGCCCCTCCCTCACTCCTGCCATCGACCCGCCTTCCTCTCGTACCCGCTCTCCCCTCCCCACTCTCACGCCTGAAGGGTTGCGGGGGCGCGAGGCCCTCCGCTCTCTCATCTCCTCTTGGTGTTTTTGGTTTTTTAAAGCGATTTCCTTTAATTATCTTTCTTTTTCCTTTTTTTCCTTTTTTAAAGAGCAAAAGAGAAAGCTAAAAACCAAACACACCAACGTCCCCTGACTTCCGGTTCCCTAGCGGCCTCTGCTCCGCCCACTTCCTGTCATCTTCTTCCCCTCTGCTCTTTCACCCTCTTCCCCCCACCCCCCAAGTCCATCCAAAGTTCCTACCTCCCCTAACTTCCCAAGAACACTTGGAACAAACTCTGAGCCACGGAGACTTGGAGCGGAACGAGACCCCCCTCCCATTACTGGGTTCCTTCCTGGAGGAACAAATGGACGAGGACTGACCCAGCGTCAGGCTGGACAATGGACAAGGGAGAGCCTGGCCTTGGAGACGCCCCACTGTCTGTCCAGCCTTCGAAGAGACAGAGCAATGCTGCTGCCCTGTGGGGTTTCTTTCGAACCAGGGTGGGCCTGGTAGCAGGCCCAGCTGGAGGGGATCCCCAGAGAAGAGGCCAAGGCTGGGTGTGAGGAGGGAAGGGGGGGGGGGACACTAGGTGCCAGGGGAGAAGCCGGCTCACTGCTGCTCAGTGTCCGGCTGGTGCTAGCAACAGATGGAAGGAGGCCCCCAGGACACCTGTTATGGAGGGTGCTTCTGGGGACAGCCTGCCCCTGGGGTTCTGCCTTGGGAGAGGGCAGCCCTGAGAGGGGCATCTGGTACTTTTAGTTCCCTAATTTAGCACTTTAAATGCCATTAACTTATTTTATGGGGTGGGGTGGGGAAGATGGAAGGGCCTAGAAACATGTTTGGAGGGTGGGAAGGGTCTGGTTTGAGGGATACAGGGAGAAGGGACGGGTGGGTGCAGTAAAGTCTTTGACCCCTAGAGGGAGCAACTTGACCTTCAGCCGGCCTCTATGATTTGAGGGTTTTCAGGGAAGGGGTGAGCTGTGACTTGCCTGTGGGGATCTGGTGACCACTTGTGAGGTGTTTGAGGATCCCCAAGGCAGAAGAGCCAGCTAGTATTCCAGTCAGGATACCTTGCAGGGGTCCTGCACGGGGAAGACTGGCTTATGGGAGGGTCCAGGAGTCAAAGGGAGAGGCCCACAGAGGAGCCAGAGCAAGAAGGACGATTCTGTGAAGGGCTGTAAGGTGGAGGGGCTCCCCTTTGGAGCTCAAAGCAGAGTAAGCACAGAGATGTGGTCTTGGGACTAGTCCCACAGTAAGCACAGAGAGGAACCATTGAAGGGACAGAGCCCCAAGACCCTGGAGCCCAGCAGGGGAGAGCCAGTGGCAGCTGTTGAGGGTTTGGGGAGGGAGGGAAAACGGGGTTGTGTTTCTTTTCTTCGTTTGTTTTTATTTATTTCTCTTTTTGTTTCCTTAGTTTCCTCTTGTTTTCCAGCTTTGGATCATTTTTGTACTAAGGCAAGCAAGCCTTTTTGAAAAATAACAAAAGAAGGAGAAAAAAAAATCCCTCCCAGAAACAAAACAAAACAAAACAAAAAACAAAAAAAAAACCAAAAAAACCCTAAAAAATAGAAAAAAAAAAGGACCTCACAATGATGCAATTACTTTTAATTGCAAGCAACTCTTTACATTTAAGTGAAGTGTCTTAACATTTTATATTGTTTTAAAAATATATTTACATATTATATATATATAATATACGTAATATAAATATATATAAATATTTAAAAAAGAAAAAAAAAAAGAAAACCACAGCACACTCTCCCTGGCCGCTGTCTGGCAGGGGAGGGGCTGGGGACAGGCGTGTGGCCTAGTTTCTGTAGTCCCCGTGAAGCAGTTTGGTTTGATTAGGCTGTACAGAGACCCCTGGCTTGGGAGGGGGAGGGGGAGGGGCCCCTCCACTCCATTTCTCTTTGCTTGCTACTCTTTGCTTGCCCCTACACCCGCTCAGCCCTGTGACCTGAGTGTGCGCCCCTCTGTCATTGTCCTGAGTTGAGTGTCCTCTCTGGAGAGAGGGAGCCGGAGAAAGTGACTGTCCATGCCGGGGCTGCCCCACGAGCTCAGGCAAGGCCCGTGGGATTTGCGTAGTTCTAGTTCTTGGGTTTGGTTCCTGCGCATGTGTGTCCCGGAAGGCATTTGTATGGGATTGTGTGCAGCCTGTGGCACACATAACTTGTGTGGGCACATACATGGATCTTGTGTGCATAGGCGAAACTTAATATTGTATGTGTGAAGCCTTGTACATGTATGTGAATGTAACCTGCCTGGGCATGGTTGTGTGGGGAGAGACTTCGAGTAAGGACGTGTGTGATGTGCATGTAGACATGCCTGGCTGTTCGTGTGAGGGCCACATATGGATGGGTACAGATGACGTTAGCTGTGGGTATGGTTGTGTGCAGGTGCAGGCAGGCGTGTGAGAGGGCCTCTGTGTGTGTGAGTACTCGTGTGCATGTGTGTGTGTTCCATCATCCCTGCACCACTCGCCCGGCTTCCCTCCCAAGCTCACCCCTCCACCCCGACCCCTGTCTTCTCAAAGCCCGCAGCACGTCGATTCCCTGCCCCCACCCCCAGCTGCATGCGCCTCGCCGCTGTCCATCAGTGTGTGCTTGACAAGAGAAACTGCCACACCGGGGGACCCTGTACCTGGTCCCCTCACCCCTGCCCGCTGTGCTGTGTTACTCGCATGGGGGGTTCTCTCTGGCCCCTTCCACAATATACTGTTTCCCCAGGGGCCTTGGGGCCAAGGCTTTGAGTGAGGTCTCAAGTGGGGCCCCCCAAGGCCAGCCCGGCTCCACACCCACCCGTCCACCCTGTAGGGCCTGTGTTGGTGTAGAAGTGATGGCTTCTGTGGATATTGTGACCTCTGTCAGTGTAACTTGACGATTTCTAAATGGAAAGGGTTGCTGTGTTTTCTGTCTCTTTTTTAATGTCCTTTTTTCCTCCCCTACCTCTCCTCCCTTCCCGTTTGGTTTTTCTAGCCGAGTGTTGGGGCTTTAATAAAACTTGTTTCTTTTTTCTCTCCTGGATCTTCTTCCTGTGGGCTGTGCCTTGTTATTTCACTGGGACCTGGAAGGGATTGGGGTGAACAGCAGAGAGGCGGACACTCGCTGAAGCCAGCTTGTCTCGAGTCAGTGGACATGGCACAGAGAAGGGACAGACAGGACAGGAAGCACGGGGCTAGCATTACCCAAGGCACGTGATTCCCGAAACCATGGGGAAGGACACCATGAATTTCTTTATTTTTTTATTTCTTGGATTTTTGAGACAGGGTTTCTCTGTGTAGCCCTGGCTGTCCTGGAACTCACTCTGTAGACCAGGCTGCCCTTGACTCAGAGATCCACCTTCCTCTGCCTCCCCGGTGCGGGATTAAAGGCGTTACCATGCCCTGCTTAACCCCACTAATTCTAAAGAGTCAGCTTCAGACTGGATGTCACAGAGGAGACCCCATCTAGTCCCCCATGACCGCCAATGAGTGAGATCCTGGACATCTTTCCTGTGTCACAGAACCAGAGATCTGTAAACTCACAATCTGAGTTCAGCTCCACCTGGCCCCAATGCCAGATTACCTGGAGCACTGCCATGTTGGGTTTCAGCCTCTGGCCCACTGGGAGGGAGGGATGACCCCTGATGTATATACTCCATCACTTTCAGACTCCTGGAACTAACAGGAACTCCCACAAAACACATGAAACAAACACGCAGTGAAATGGACCTGCTACCCACAGTGCGCAGGCCACGGGCCAGATGTCTCGCTCAGGGTTTCAGAAAGTCTGAATTCGAGAATTCTGAAGGTCTTGTCACAGTCCCCATGAGTTCCATCTCTGAGGCTTCCTGTATTCTTGGCAGAGGCCCAGAGTTACCAGTTCTACCAGTCAGTAATTGATCACCTCTGTCCCATTGGGTGGCAAGGTCCTGAAGGTACACACTCCCAGCCATGTTTGGAATCCTTAGTATCATTCTCTTCTAAGGACCGACCAGTAGCAAGCCTGAGCTGAGAAACAGCACACTGCTGCATGAGTCACCGCCAGCCACTGCCTGAGTCAAACCTCAGTCTACCTGGACGCCATTCCCCTGACGTTTAGAATGTCAGCAGGACCTGTTAATTTCCTGTAGTATTCCTGGAAAACAAGAGAACAGCCAACCCCCTCCTCCTTCCCCTTCCCCTGGCATTTTAAAGCGGAGAACAAACACAGCCATCACTTGCTTGCCAGAGATCATACCTAGCACAGTCCTCACCCTTTCAAATGGCTTCCGAAAAAGCCCTCCTCGCTGCTGTGCCTAGGTACCCCAGGGCCAACTGTAGCCTGTGGCAGAGGAGCCAGCCAGGAAACGGGGGTTGGGGGGATGGAGGGGTACAGGCGGGGAGGGAGTGAGTGTCTACAAACTGTAGCTGACAGCAAGCACTGGAACAAGGAGCCCTCTAACTATGGGGGCAAAGTGTAATGTGGACCTGCCCAGGATGACCACGCCCAGACCACGCCCTGGCGTCCCTGATTGAAGACGGTAAGTATGAGGAATGGAAGGGCTGGGGAGATGGCTCTCAGGAGTGTGCCTGCCATGCAAACATAAAGACTAGCGTTTGGATTTCCACCAGCCATATAAATCCAAGCGCAGTGGTTCAGGTCTGTGACAGTAGGGTAGGAGGAGGGTGTTGGGGACAGGTCCTCAGAGCTCACTGGCCAACCAGGTCATCCAACGGGGAAACTCCAGGTTCAATGAGAGACCCTGTTTCAAAAAAGTTAGCAATGGAAGACACATACTTCCGGCCTCCATGTATGTGTGCACATGCACACACCCAGAATACTAACACAGAATTTTAAAGGCTGATCATAAACTTCCCAGCAATGGTGAATCTACCAGTCAGAGGACCGTCTGATATACATAGCTAGTTCCAGACTGTCAGTGTCCAGACTGTTATAGGAACTAAAGTAAGACTGAGCAGGGCTGGAGAGATGGCTCAGCGGTTAGGAGCACTGACTGCTCTTTCAGAGGTCCTGAGTTCAATTCCCAGCAACCACATGGTGGCTCACAACCATCTGTAATGGGATCTGATGCCCTCTGGTGTGTCTGAAGACAGCTATAGTGAACTCATACAAATAACTCCTTAAAAAACTGAGCGAAATTGTGAATTTGAGGCCAGCCTGGGAGAGCAAGTAAAGGTGAAAGCATGGGAGAGACCTGACTCCTGCAAGTTCTCTGACCTCTGTACACATGCTGTGCCCCACCCTAAAAATGAGTAGCAGCCGGGCAGTGGTGGCGCAGGCCTTTAATCCCAGCACTTGGGAGGCAGAGGCAGGCGGATTTCTGAGTTCGAGGCCAGCCTGGACTACAGAGTGAGTTCCAGGACAGCCAGGGCTACACAGAGAAACCTTGTCTCAAAAAACCAAAAAAAAAAAAAAAAAAAAAAAAAAAAAAATAGAAAGAAAAGAAAAAGAGTAACATATTGATAATCCGACCATCTGAAGGATTGGGAAAGACTGCTAAGGCAGGGTGATCTAGAGCCAGTCTGGATTATATCAAGAAACCTTTTCCCAAGAAATGAACGGCTCACACCTGTAATCCTTGCCCTGATGCAGGAAGCATCCCTGAGGTAGCCTAGGCTGTTTTGGGACAGTCTTAACAAAACCAACCAACCCAACAAACAAGGAGGAGCCACTCTCTGGAGCTGATTACACAGTCCTGGGCCAAAGGCAGGTCTAGGGTGAAGAGTCCTAGCCTTCTGGTTCTAGGAAAGAAACAAAACCCAAGGAGCACAGAGAGAGACACTGGGGGTGGAGAGAGGGGGATGGGCAGGCTCATGGGCCAAGAACAAGAAACTGCCTGTCTTCCAGGAGCCGTGGCAGTACTGGGAAGGTTTCTTACCTTTTTACATTTTATATTATTAAGTGTATATATTATGGGTGGGAAGAAGGGTTTGTATGTGAGCGAAGGTTTCTGAGGAGGCCAGCAGAGGGTCTTGGATCCCTGGGACAGGTAGTTATGAGCTGCCTGGTGTGGGTGCTGAGAACTGATTGCTGTCCCTCTTCAGGGGCCATGTGCTCTTTGGTAGGCAAGTGTCCAAGACCTTCCCAGTTGCAGGATGCCTCTCCGCTGCAACTTTCTCAGTTGTGGGTGATAATCCAGTGTCTCAGGAGAGGAGAATGAAGCATCAGAGTCTTGGCAGTCACACCAAATGATGATCCAGAGAGAAACCTAGGACTCCCTCCAGTGGGCATTAGCTTGATCGCTGGTCACTCACCAACTTCTTTAGTTGAGCCTGATAGCCATGATCTGGTCTCACCTATGACAGAAAAGTGGTGTGTGTGTGTGTATGTGTGTGTGTGTGTACTCCTCTCCCTTAACACCAATATTTCCTAAAGAAACAGCAAACATTATGGACGTGGTGCCGGATCGATCGGTGTGCTCGGTGTGCCTTCACAGCTCCCTCGGTTGTGTTTCCCACGCCAGAATTCCCGCTTCACATCCAGAGTTCAGTGGGTTTCAGTTTGTGGATGTGCAGCCAGCACTGTATTCTTATTTTAGAATATTTTCAACACTCACATAAAAAAAAAAACACCCTGGCCCCTCCCAACTATCATCACCTACTTCAGCTCTGTGACACCCTATCCCTGGGGAATTACTCTTCTTCCCCTGTGGGGATTCCCCCAGGCTTTTCCCAGGGATGGAATCACACAGCAGCCTGGCTTCCTTTCTGCCACTCATGTTTGCAAAGGCAGCTGCAGTAAAGCATGCAGGAGAGCTTTGTCCCTTCTCTAGCTAAGCCCTTCTCCATCATGTATGTTCTACATGGTATGTGTGTGTGAGTGTGTGTGAGTGTGTGTGTGTGTGTGTGTCCAGCTTTGGGTGGTTAACACATGAATGTTCAGGTGACAAGCACATGTCTGGTGGCAGCTAAGTGTGCCACAGGGTGTGTGTGGAGGTCAGAGAACAACTTTTAGGAATAAGTGCCTTCCTTGGACCTTTGTGTAGGTTCTAAGGATGGAATTCAGATTGTCTGCCGGCCAAGCCACACCATCCTGAAGCAGCAGTTCTGGGCTGCATTCCTGCCAGTCCCCTAAGAGGGTTCTAGTTTATCCACATCAGCTTTCTGTCTTCTATATATCCATATTGGTGTTCTTTCTTTCTTTCTTTCTTTCTTTCTTTCTTTCTTTCTTTCTTTTTTTTTTTTTTTGAGGCGAGGTCTTCAAATTCTCCATGTAACAGAACCTGATGCTGAACGTCTCATTTTCCTGCCTCTACCTCCCAAATGTTGAGATCACAGGCATGTATCACCCAACCTGGCTTATGTGGTGCTGGGAATTGAGCCCCATATCTTCAGTCTCTGAAGCATCTATCACGATTTTTTAAAAAAATGTATCCTTTTATCTTATGTGCATTGGTGTTTTGTCTGTATTCATGTCTTTGTGAGGCTGTTGGATCTTCTGGAGCTGTAATTACAGACAGTTGTGAGCCTCCATGTGTGTGCTGGGAATTGAACCCGGAATCCTCTGGAAGAGCTGCCAGTGCTTTTGACTGCTGAGCCACCTCTCCAGCCCCCAATTTACAGCTTCGATTGTTACATGTTTGTTGTAGTCACTTTTGTTTTTCTGTGTGGGCCTGTGCCACAGTGAGTATACATTTCTCTGTGGAGACCTGGCTGGCCTGAACCTAACTCTGTAGACCAGACTGGCCTTGAATTCAGAAATCTGCTGGTGTCTGCCTCTGGAGCGCTGGGATTAAAGGTGTGCACCACCATGCATGGCTTTAAAGAACAACTTTCAAGAGTTGTTCTCTTTCCACCCTGTGGGTTCCAGAGATGAAACTCAGGTTGTAAGGGTTGGCAGCAGGCACCCTTACCTGATGAGCCATCTTGTTGGCCCCAAAGCTCTTAGTATTCTAACTCAATCTCACTGTGGTTGAGAACAAACTTTATTGTGACAGGCATCGGGCTTGCTTAAGGCCTACGATATGGTCTGCCCCAGATGTTCCACATGTACCTGAGAAGGCATGTTCTGTCCTTTGGAGTGTTCTTCAGAGCTCTTTGAGCCCAGCTGGTTTATGGAGGGTCGGGCTTCCTTCCTGTGGTCAGTTCTATCTACGTTGAGGGTGGGATATTAAAATCTCCAACTAGCATATGAAACTGTAGTCTTTCTTCCAGCCTGTTAGACTGCCTGCATCTGGGTTGTCCTTGGGAATACACCTGTTTTAACTCTTGGCAGTCTGGCTTATAGACTGTTACAAAATGTCCTGGTCCCTAGTCTGAACTGAAATGTCCTTGTCCCTAACGAGAATTTCTGCTTCATACTTGAAATGGTTACCCTGGCTCTCTCGGTAACTGCTCACATGGTTTCTTTATGCTAAACTTCCATTTTAAAAATATATTCTATCTATTGCTGTGACCAAATACCTGACAGAAACAACTTAGTAAAAAGAACGTTTATTTTGAATCAAAATTTCAAGGGAGTTTCAGTTCCTCACGATGGAGAACATAGTAGCTGGAAGAGGACTCAGAGGCCCTGCTGGGATCAGGGCAGTAGGATCTTCAAAGGCCTCTGGTGACCTTCTGTCAGGTGACCTTGTGTCAGGCAAGCCCCACCCACTCCAAAATAATGCTGAGTGAAGTGGGAACCAAGAGGTCTGGACCTGAGCTGGAGCTTTCAGATTCAAACTATAAACCAGGCACGGTGGCACACATCCGTAATCCTCAGCACTCAGTGGCTGAGGCAGGAGGATTGCTATAAGTTGAGGACAGCCTGATCTACACATTGAGTTCCAGGTCAGCCAGGGCTACATAGTGAGACCTTGACTAAAACAAAGTAAAACAAACCCAAAAGTTTGCTCCAATGTAGATCCAGCCCCTTCCTCCACGTGGTTAGTGTGATACCAATCACACCTTTACGGACAACAGTTTTGCAATTTTGTGCGTGTTGTTTTTTAAAGAGAAACAAGAAAAATACAATATTTCTCTATTCCCCACAGTCCACAGTATTTATTCTCTGTGTGGGATCAAGTTACCATCTAGTGTGTTTTCCTCAGCTCAAAGGCCCTTCCTGCCTGCAAAGAATTCTGTTTTCTTATCTAGATTATCTTTGTTTGACCTTCTTATCTTTAGAGTCTATTACTGTCTGCATAAGGTCACCCTGTGAGGAGGGAGTCCCACCCCTATCCTGTAGCTTCTGCCTGGATCCACCACTTATTAACAAGGTGACCTTGGGAAGCCACATCCTGCTCAGAGCCACAGCTTTCTCACACCCAGAAAGCACACTGTGTCACTGAGCTGAGTGTTGGAGGTGTGGTTTAGGGCAAAGCCCTCCAGGTGAGTTCTGAGCATTCAGGGATACCAGTTCTGAGTTTACACTAGGGTAGCTGGCTTTTTCAGAGAAAATGGGCCAGTCTCACACTTAACAATGTTGTTGGGCCTGACATGCCTGCGGTGAGAGCTAGCCAAGTCTCTTGTCTGTGGGTTAGTGCCTGAGGCTACTCTGAAGGCTTGAGAAAGAAGGCGCCTCCCACACCTGGCCTCTGCAGGTGTTGCAGAGCAGATGCCTGGAGACCTCCTGCTGATGTATGGGGGTTGGAGGGGATGTGGGGACAGCACACCACTCACCCTGTCTCACCCTGTGTGACTTTCTCTGTTCATACCAGTCTCCTGGGAACAAAAAGAAAAAAAAAAGCCACTAGAGAGAAGTGATTTCCCAGTCCTGCCTGCCACTCTGCCTGGCTACCCGGCTACCCCGCTTGCTAGGACCTGAACCTCAGACGTCTCCCTCCCAGCGCTGCTCTGCCCCTCTCCCCATCCAAACAAGTGAGACACTGGTTCATGCCTGAGGAAGGCCATTTATTTCCAAGATATAGACTGTACTTTTAAGACAGGACTTTCAGAAGCAGGAATCTTAGTTATAGCCTAGAGAGGTGTGTCAAGGACCCAGGGGGAGGAGCCATGCAGACGTGGGGGGTTTATCCAACACTGTTACAACACTTTTTAAAATGAGCAAAACATCTTTAAAAATCCTTATAAATTCTTTATAATATGTTACACATTAGAGACAATATTTACAGTGAAAGGGAGGGGGAGAAACTTTACAGCAAATCTTTGCATAAACCAGAAAGACCAACAGACTTGGGCAGCAGGGCAGGTCACCCCACTGGGGTTCCCCTGGAAGGGGGTTGGGCGGAGGGCGGACTAGTGCTTTAGGTTTATTTACAATGCGGGGGAAGAGGAGCTGGGTCCCACCCACCCTGCAGGAACAGCCTAGCTGAGACCCTATACATCAATGAGGGACAGAGTCCTTCCCGACTGAAGACTGAGCCTGCATGCTAAGCTGCGGAAGGGAAGCAGGGTGAACAAGGAGGAGGGAGACACCAGCAGCAGGGGGATCCAAAAACAAAACAAAACAAGATCAAAATGGGAGCAGGCAGGTCCACAGGTCAGAGAGCTTAGAGGGGTGACTTAGAGGTCGGCAAAGGATGTGAGGAACGACTTCGGTAGTAATGGGGTTCAGTCCTGCCTCTGTGGAAGTGGCCTCAACCCAGCCTCCGCCCTGACAAACTTGGGGCTAAGATGTCTGTGTGCACTAAAGGCAGGGGCTGGAGGGGAAGTGAAGGGGTTGGGGTAGAAATTGCTACTGGAAACAAACACCTTTGCACTGTGACTACACACTCTCTCACACACACACAAGCCCCCTCGCCCATGAACACCCAACCTACACAACTGCTCCCCAGACATTCATCCTTCCTCCCATCCTTGGCTAGGAGCTAATGGGTTTGGGGCGGGGCAGAGGACAGACCCCCAAATCCAGCCTGTATCTTTCCTTCTGTATGAAACTTGGGCGGTCCACCGACACTGCATGGGTCATCAAGGGTCCCTAAGTAGACTCACTGAAAAGGGCCACTCTGTTCTTTATCCAAGGGACATGACTCCCAGTAACCCCTCCCCTCTCCCGAGGACTCCCACTGTGGTCCACCCCATCTAATTCCAGCCTGCGGCACCAGCACCGCCCTTCACACCCCGCCCCCAACCTTCTGCAGCACTGGAGGCGGTTGAGGGGGGCACAAACGAGACGGGAATGCCTGCAGCCCCGGGACAGGGGAGGGTGTCACAGACACTGGTGGAGGCGGGCGGCAGCTGAGCGGCGCGGGGGCAGACCCTGCAGGGCCCCTAAGTCCCCCGATGGCAGTGATGCGGCGGATGAGGCCCGTGCCTTGGTGGACTCCAGGCTGCTAAGGCCAGAGTCCTTATTGTCGCTGTGCGGTCGCACGCCCGCGGGCTCCAGAGGGCCCCCTGCGCCCAGTTCCTTCCACTCGTTGAAGTTGAGGTCGGTCAGCGGGCTCTGCACCACCACCGTGTGGCGGCGCCAGCTGCTCCGGCGCCGCCGCGTCTCGGGCGACAGAGGGCGCCGGAGCCGCACGGCCAGCATGTCGTCGGCGGTACCACGGAGACGCAGCCGCAGGGCTTCCACGCGCGAAGGTCTCGAGCCGAGTGCCGGGGCGGCCGCCGGGGGCCGCAGCGACTCCTGGCTGCTGGATGATGCCGAGCCCGGCGCCTCGGGACCGCGGGGACCCGCCCGGGCCGTACCCGCGCCCGGACCCTCGGCATCCGCGCGGCTGCGAGACAGGCGACGGCGCGCCAGAGTGTCGCATGGCATAAGATGGTGTGAGCTGAAGGACGGTCGGCGCGACAGGCGCCCCCCGGGGCCTGCACCGCCCTCCGTGTCCGTCTCCACGTGGCTCAGCTCGCTGCGTTCGTCGTCCGCCTCGTCGCCCGCGCCCGCGCGCCGCCCGCCGGTGGCCGAGCACACGCTACGGTCCATGGTGGACAGGGTGGAGTAGCCCGAGACGATGGAGCGCGTGTCCGCCGCAGGCCGCTCGTCGGGTGCCGTCGGGGGGCTGAGGCGACCGGGGGCCTCCTCGGCTGCAGGGCCCGGCAGCTGCCCCTCGGGTGGCTCCTGCGTCCCCACCGCAGCCTTGTGCGCCTCCTGCTCGGAGTCATCGTCGGTGCTGCTGCCCAGGCCCCGCGCCTCCCGCCGCTTCTTCCGTTTGCGGTTGACCGCAGAGATGAAGGAGATCGCCAGCATCTCCCGGGCGTAAGGCTCTTTCTTGGGGACCCACGAACCCTGTGCAAGGAGACAGCGAGGGTAAGGAGGGCCTTACACATTCTACTCCTCGCCCCATACCATGGCATCCAATCACGAAGTCCAAAACAAACGAGTGCCCACACCAGCATGTTTTCCACTCACTCCGTGCCTGCTGGAGCGCCACCACTGCATGCTCCAGTTTGATCTGGGAGCTGGGTAGGGTCTTCTCTAGCCACTTCAAGATAAATTCCTTAGACTTACTGGTGACAGTCCAAGATAATGTGTCTGGTACAGTGATCCCTGGTTGTAAACGCTAATGGTTCAACCATCCACCGTTCATTCTTACTCTCCATTCACCGCACTTGAGAAGCCTCTCTCTCCAGGGTACAACCCTCGTCACTTCCTCCTTTCCACCCAGTCCCCAGGCCTAGATCAGCTCAATGGCTGACTGGGCTGCCCCGAGTGGCTGAAGAGCCTGGTACAATCCCCTGGTCTGGATAGCGGCCACTCCTTCCAAGCCCCTGCTGTGCTCACGGGTCTGTCTGGCTTGCAGCAGTTCTTCCTGCGAGGCCCTGCTGTGGTGATTTTGGCCGGGTCCTTCCGTCCAGAAGACCCTCTGGCCATGGTGGCATTTGGATCTGCTTCCCATCTCGTTTTGGTTTTGCAGCATCCTGGGGAGTTCCAAGGACTCTTTCTTTAGCCTTTTCTATCCCAAAATGCGGCCATTTCAGGCCTCCCTGTCACAAAGCAAACTCTCCTGTGAGCTCCAGACTCCTTTCCAACTGTGATTCTATCTCTATCCTGTGTTTGTACCCAGGTCTACCCACGGAGAGGACATCGTCCCACCTACCCTGCCCAGGCTTCCTCCACGCACACTGCCCCCTAAGAACAGCGTACCCCCTCTACCCTTGCCTCAGCAGCCCTCGCCACTGTAGAAGCATCCTTAAAAAGCAGGGCTCTGCTTCCTCTCAGCTTTGTTCAGGACTGGATGACCCCACCCTTATCAGACACAAGTGAGGCCCTTCACACCTTAGCTTCAACCTCAGACCTAGAGCCCAGACCCCTACTTGAATCCAGCGTGTCCTCTAGTGACTGTCTCACTACTTGAACCCAGTGTGTACACTGGCGACTGCCCCACCAAGCCTTCCTTTGAGGCCATTTCACTTCGATATGACTGGCAGCCCTACTGTCTCCTGGATCCTGTGTGCTGAATCCTCTGATCAAACTACCCTCCTTCATCCCAGCTGCCTCTAGTGCAAAGAGGTCCATGGCCTTGCCCAGGGAGTGCAATGGGTGTGGGGGTGGGCACAGGAACTAGAAGGACTAGAAGGACTAGAAGCAAAGGGTGTAAGCAGCAAAGAGCTATTTGCAGGTCTCTGAGACAAAGTGACCTTAGGACAAAGCTCCCTGTCACTGAATTGTGCTCTGGGGTGAGGCTACCAGGGACCCTTGCCTCAGGCTCCTGCGGCCCTGTTTTTGTTCAGAGAACACATCTGAAACAGCCAGACGTCAGGTGTCCCGTGCCTGGGGTGGGCTTATGGGGAAGGAGCCAGCCTCAGAGGCAGAAGATGAAGACGTTCAGCCCACAGCACTCAGCTGGTTTCTCTCAGTGCTAGGACTGAACTGTGTCCCCCACCAAAGCCAGATACTGCAGTTCCAACCCCCAGCTGTGAGGCCCAGTGATGGGATTAATCTCTCTTCCCTCCCTCCTTCTCTATGACACAGTGGGGAGGTAGTTATCAAAACAATTAAAGAGCCAAAGCAAAACCTTCACCAGAAGCTAACTTGCTAGCACTGTGAACTTGGACTTCTAGCTCCTAAACCTGTAGGAAGTAAATATTCATTGGATTTTTGTTGTTGGTGGTGGTAATGGTGGTTGGTTGGTTGCTTTTGGCTTTTCAAGATAGGGGCTCTCTGTGTAGCCCTGGCAGTCCTGGAACTTAACTATGCGGACCAAGCTGGCCTCGAACTCCAAGATCTGGAGTGCTAGGATTAAAGGCATGTGCCACTGCCACCAGTGCCCAGCAAGTATTCATTGTTTAAGCCCCCAGGCAAGCTCTTTTGTTTCAGCCATCCAAGCTAAGCCATGAACCCCAGCCATCAGCTTTCCTCTTCACAGCTGGGCCACTCAGGGCAGACACTGGAACACACAAGTAGTAGCTTGGAAACCCAGGTAAAGCTATAGAAGTCCTTCCTGGGGGCTGGAGAGATGGCTCACTGGTTCAGAGCACTGACTGCTCTTCCAGAGGTCCTGAGTTCAATTCCCAGCAACCACATGGTGGCTCACAACCATCTGCAATGGGATCTGATGCCCTCTTCTGGTGTGTCTGAAGACACCCACAGTGTGCTCACATACATAAAGTACATAAATCTTTGAACACTCCCCCCCAAAAAAACCCCAAAACAAACAAAGAAGTTCTTCCTGTTTTCTTTTTGAGATTTACTTTTGTTTATCGTGTATGGGTGTTTATCTACATGTATGTCTTTGCGTGCAGTGTCCACATAAACCAGAAGAGGGCTTTGGATCCCCAGGCTGAAGTTATAGTTAGTTGGTTGTGAACTGCCATGTAGGTGCTGGGAATTGATCCCAGCTCCTCCCCAGGAGTAGCCAGTGCTCTTAACCGGAGTCATCTCTCCAGCCCAACCCAGGCCCAATGGGATTCCTTATCTGCACATGCTCAGAAAGAGCACCTTTGTCAGTGGTGGCTGCTCATGGAGTTGGGCATTTTAAACACCTCAATGGCATTAGGAGGCAGCACTGAGAACTGAATTGCTGCTGTTGCAAACAGGGCAATCACCAGCCACAGCCTCCACAGAACGGCTGAACTGGAGGACTGGGGGCCTTGGGCTGAGAGCTTCTGGAACAAGGCTATATAGCTGCCCTCAGATTTTCAAAAAAAAAAATATTTATTTATTTATTTAGTTATTTAGTTATTTATTTACTTATTTACGTATTGATTTATTTATGGTACAGGTGCATCATCTGAATGCATGTCTGCACACCAGAAGAGGGCACTGAATCCCATTGCAGATGGTTGTGAGCCAAAATATGATGGCTGGGAATTGAACTCAGGTCCTTTGGAAGGGGAGCCAGCGCTCTTAACTTCTGAGTCATCTCTCCAGCCCCCCCTTTTTTTTCTTTTGGGAAGGGGTCTGTGACTGAGAGTATATGATGAGGAAAGGTCTCTCTTTCCAGTGATTGTGACCTCCATGGAGCCAGCTAATTCTCCCTTGGAGGTGACTTCCTGAGCTTTGGACAGGCCAAGGGGATCAGGAACCTGTGGGGAAACAGGATGAGGCCATGCTGAATCCGACAGCCCAGCCAGGGACCAGGGGGCCTCAGACCAGCTACCCTGGGCTATATGGAGAGTTGAAATGGGGGGGGGGGGCATCAGAATAGTAAAAAGGGACCCTTTCCTACAAACATGGACATCTTAGTGTTAAACTAGTATGCTTCAGCCAGGAGTTTGTGCTGTGTGCCAGCCCACACTCCAACAAGGAGCAGCCTAAATAAATAAATAAATAAATCCACAAAATCCCAACCAAACAGAAAACAACTCTCACAGGGAGGACACGGTGGAGTGTAATTGTAACTCATGGTGTGGATCCCACCTGGGTCCCATCAGAAGCCTCTGAAAATCCTGGCTGCATGGTAGAAAAAAAGGAAGGGGGGCTGGAGAGATGGCTCAGTGGTTAAGAGCACTGACTGCTCTTCCAGAGGTTCTGAGTTCAAATCCCAGCAACCACATGGTGGCTCACAACCATCTGTAATGAGATCTGATGCCCTCTTCTGGTGTGTCTGAAGACAGCTACAGTGTATTCATAATAAATAAATAAATAAATAAATAAATAAATAAATCTTTAAAAAAAAAAAAAAGAAAAAAAGGAAGGAGGAAGAAGGCTGCCCTGTGCTCTCGCGTGCATCTGCTGGTGGTGATGACCCCAGCTAGGTTCTGGGGAACACAGCTGACAAACCCTTTCTGACTTCAGAGTCAGAAAGGAACCTGGCAGCAGCAAGTCTCAGCACTAAGCAGATGTGGTCCCCAACCACTGGAATGCAGAGCTGGCTGGAGTCCAGGCCTTGGTGTCTGAAATGGGACACCGCAGACTCAGGTGCTCTGTGGGCCATACTACAACACCACCTGCTACACAGGTTCAAAGTCTCTGTCTCCGTGACAGTTATTCCTATTAACCAGGCAGCCTAGTTTGTGCCTCAGGCTCTCAAGTGCTTCTCTAGCTGCGTCATACACATGCTGAGGCTATCCCATGGCCCCAAATGCTCCAGCCCTGACAGCAGAGGATCAGAACAGGATCTGCAGGGCATCTGCAGATGCCCACCCCTTGTGATCAAGAACATGATCAAACTTCTAGGTGTGGGTGGGGGCTACAAATGTGAACTCGTACACTTGTGACCGGGTAGCTCACTAGTACGTCAGGGATGTGCAAGTCAAGTGTACAGGACACTTTCTGAGAAGCACACTGTGTGTGTTGAAGGCTCTGTGGCTAAGCAGAATCCTCCAGAGGAGCCACCAAGCTAACACAGGAATTTTAAGGAGGCTCAAAAGCTCGGGAAGCTGGAATCCCATAGCCAGGAGGCCTTAGGGAGGTGTCGTGTCTACTGCAGACAGATGTGGCCATAGGGGATAATGAGGGCTTCTGTCTAGAACTGTGGTTCTCAACCTTCCTAATGCTGTGACCCTTTAACACAGTCCCTTAACTGTGACCCCAACTCTAAAATTATTTTCACGTCTACTTCATAACTGTAATTTTGCCATGCTTATGAATCGCAATGTAAGTATCTGGTGTCAACCCCTGTGGAAGGGTTGTTTGACCCACCCCAGAGGTTGCGACCCATAGGTTGAGAACTGCTGGTCTGGGGGCTCTTACAGAGAACAGCACTGTTGAGCACAGGGCTATCGGAGTAGAGTGGCCTTCTGTGGCCTCCTGCAACTCACCTCAGACCGACTCAGTGGAGGTCTCCACTGCCCACTATCAGTGCCCAGAGGCCGACCACCTGTTTCCTCCTTGTTGCTACCCTGGAGGCATCTTCCCACCTTGGGGCTCAGTCCCACATCTCTCATACCAGCTTCCCTCTACCCACAGGGCTTTGCATTTTTGCTCTGAATACCTCTCAGCTTGGCTTCTCACGTCTGTGCATGCAGACATCTGGTTTGTGAACCCCACCCAGCTTCTGCCTTCTCTAGGTTCCAATTCTCTCCAGCTAGCAGTGTTTGCTCATTAGTACGATACTGGGATCCATTCTAAGATAGACCCTGTGTGGATAGGAGTCTACTTGTTCAGCTCTGTTTCAGTTCCCTGTGTGTGTGTGTCTCTGTCTCTCTCTGGGGGAGGGGGGCTGTGGAGACAGGAAGAGGGTGTTAGACTCTGGGACACAAATTTACTGGTGGTTGTGAGCCAACTAATGTGGTTGCTGTCAACTGAACTCAGGTCCTCTGGAAAAGCAGTCAGTGCTCTTAACCACTGTCTCTCTAGACCCTCAGCCCCTGCTTGCATCTTCAGTGTTCAGTACATGAAGCCATGTAGGGGATTCAGATGAGCTCTGTGTGGCAATACTCAATGAATACAGTTGTTTCCAGAGACACCGGAAGTCTTAGATATCGGGGAATGGCGGTGGCACACACTGGGATGGAGAAGCATTCCCACCGCTTTCACCCCATCAGAGATTTTGGAGAATTGGTAGTGATTTGTTTTTAAGATTTATTTTATGTATATGTGAGTGTATGTGTGTATGTGCAACATGAGTACAGTGGCCAAGGAAGGCATCAGATCTGAAACCGGAGCTATGAGCAGTGGTGAACCGCCATGTTGGTGCTGGGAACCAAATACAGGTCCTTTGCAAATGCTCTTAACGTTTCATTCATCTCTCCCTCTAACCCCTGTGGTAGTATTTCTGTGCAAGCAAAATAACTTTTTAAAAGTTTTTTTTAGTACATATTTGTGCATGTTTGTGTGCATGTGTGTTATGTGCATGTTTGTGTGCATGTGTGTACGTGCATGTTTGTGTGCATGTGTGTACGTGCATGTGTGTACGTGCATGTTTGCGTGTATGTGTGTACTCACATGCATTCTTACACGCATGCAGTAGCCTGAAGTCCAGAAAAGGAGGCCAGATCCCCTGGAATTGGAGTTACAGGTGGTTCTGAGCCATCAAACACAAGTGCTAAGACCTGAACTCTGGTCCTCTTCAAGTGTGATTTAATCACTATGTGAACTTACAAGAGCCTGACAGTATTACCTATCACACACATAAGGCTGTATGAGCCACTTTCACATGTGTGGCCCACTACTGTGAAATGGGAGACTATTTTTAAATAATCGATTGTAGTGGTTTGAATATGGCCCCATCCTCTCTCGTGTATTTGAATGCTGAGTCATCAGGGAGCAGCACTGTGTGAAGGGATCAGGATGAAGAGGTGTGGCCTCGGTGAAGGAAGTGTGTCCCTGGGGGCTTGGTTTCAAAGCCCCTGCCAAGCCCAGAGTCTCTCTCTCTTTCTGCCTCTGGACCAGGATGTCATTCTCAGCTACTTCTCCAGTATCTGCCTGCATGCTATCAAGCTTCCTGTCATGATGATAAAGGACTAAACCTCTGAAACTGTAAGCCAGCCCCAATTAAATGCTTTCTCTTATAATAGTTGCCTTGGTCATGATGTGTCCTCATAGAAATAGAACAGACTAAGACAACCATTTTATAACTAAGCTATTATAAAATTGGATAAATAGATGAATTATTTAAAATTAGAAAAGTAAGCCAAGCATGGTGGCATACACCTGAAATGCCAGTACCCAAGAAAAAGGTAGGAAGAGCACAAATGTGGACTCCACAGAGAAACCCTGCCTCCTAAGCAGGTAAGCATGCAGACAAACAAATGTACAAAATAAAGAATTAGTTGGCAGGTAAAGGAATTTGCCACCAAGCCTGAGGACATGAGTTCAATCCCTGTGATCCACATTCTAGAAAACAAGAACTAACTCTCAAAAGTTGCCATCTGACATGCACACACACAACTATGGCATACACACTGGAATGCTTGAGTGCACACATACATAATAAATACGTGTAACTTAAAAAATAAACACACAAAAAACCCAAAACATTTTCCTCTTAAAATATTTGGTAGAATTTACCATCTGGCCCTGGCATCTTCTCTGTTGGAAATTTTTACACACAATTTAAATTTCTTTAGTAGATGCAGGACTATTTAGGCTATTTCTTTTGCAAATTTTAGTAGTTTGAATCCTAAGAATAGGTCTATGCCCTTTAAGTTACTGGGTTTTAAAGCACAGAGTTGCTTAAGGTATTATACTCTGAGTGTCTGTGTGGCCTGTACTGATGCCCCATGTTAGTGTCTGTGTGGTCTGTACTGATGTCCCATGTTAGTGTCTGTGTGGTCTGTAGATGTACTTGTGTCATCCTTAGCATTGGTAATTTGTGTCATCCCTTTTTAATCTGTCAGTGTGGTTAGAAGTTTATCAGTTTTATTGATTTTTTTCATAGAAACAGCTTGTAGTTTCATTGATTTTTCTTAATTGTTTTCAGTTTCATTGATTTTTCAATCATCTTTATCCTTTTTCCTTTCCTTTCCTTTCCTTTCCTTTCCTTTCCTTTCCTTTCCTTTCCTTTCCTTTCCTTTCCTTTCCTTTCCTTTCCTTTCCTTTGTTAAGTTCTCCCAGACAGCTTTTGGTTGTTTTTGTTGTTGGTGGTGGTTTTTGTTTGTTTGTTTGTTTGTTTTGTCTAGAGACAGGATCTTGCTATGAAGCCCTGGCTAACCTGAAACTCAGTATGCAGCCCAGACTGCTTCTAGCTCCCAAGCGTTGGAATTACAGGCTTGAGCCACCATTCTCAGCTCACCTAGAGACCTCAAAAAATATTAATCACAGCAGACATATTGCTGCTGCTTTCATTTTACAGATAAGGAAGCTGTAATTCAGAAAGAATTACCCAACATCATAAAATAAGTAGCAAAGCCAGGGCTCAAACTCAGGACTTTCTGCAATGAGAGCTGTTCTCAGGTCACTTTGTCCCTCAGTTACCCAGCCCCATGACCAGCCCCATGACCAACGGCCTCTTCTACATCAGATGCCTCTCCACACACCACCAAGACGAGCTTCTCGGCTTTTCTTCCCCAGACACTCAGTATTTCCCATCTTCCACTCCACAGGACCTTCAACCCACCCATCCACCGCCCAGTCCAACTTGTGTCCTCTTGACCATAAACTGCAGGGGGCTGCCTTGTTCAGGCAGAACGCATTTGGGAGCCCATGGCACTAACCTTGGACTTGGCTGAACTACAGGTGGTGGAATCTGCTGGGAAAAGAAAGAAAACGTAAGTTAGACCAGGAAAGATCAAAGGTTCAAAGATGAAGGCGTTTGTTCTCCCCAGGCCCTAGGAGGGCCACCGGCTCGGCCGGCATTTTCTATGGGTTGCCCTATCAGAAGTTGTTGTTAGCCACCACTTCTTTTAGAGGCAGGAAGTGACATCAGGCTGTGGGCCACTGAGTCTTCACTTGCCCAGGGTTAAGGACAAAGCGGGCTTTTCTCTGAGCCTGGCTCCTCCTCCCCCTCCCTCCTGCCCCCTATGACGCTGAAGCACTGAAGAGAAAATGCCAGTATTGGATGCAGTCCACAGAAACCACGATGGGGCGACACAGCACATCACAGATACTCTGGAGAAATGGAGACCACACAGTGCAGAAAGAGGTATGCGCCCCACTCCCACCCCGTGAGAAGGAAAGGGCCACACTAAGTGATCAAGGAACAAAGCAGAGATGAGGTGGGTGAAACACAGAGTACAGTGGGCTGGTGACAGAGCCGGCATCAGGCTGCCCTTAAGGGGCAAGGCCCCCTTTTAAATCCAGTCAAAACCATCACACCCAAGGGACTAGAGTGCCATTCCGTAATACCTCCAGAATGGAGAAGGAACTGGATAACAAGACCTGGCAGTGCCCTCTCCAAGGCTGGAGAGGGAGCAGGTTGGTTCAAATCTGGGATACCGAGCTGGTGCGGTTAATCCACACTCTCTGGCAGGCAGGTTAGAGGCCCTCCCCAGCCCCCTCCCCCTGCAAATGGTGAGCAGAGCAAGAATGGCTGATCACACTCGACACACACGGGACAGGCGGCAGCAGGTGATTAGAAGAGACAGGGGGCTCCTCTCTGCTACCCCACCCCCAGCCTAAATCTTAGAACTAAAGGTGCTGTGGGGCCCTTTCTCTGGGACAATAACTGGACATGCTAGCAGGCAATGTAGCCAGCATGTGAGATGAGCTAGTGGCTGAGGCCAAGAAGAAAAGGTCCACTCACTGGCCTCTGAGCACAGAAGCCATCTTCCTCTGGAACAGGACCTCCAGGATGAGTGTCCAGGGCCTGAACTAAGGCAGGGGTTGTCATTTGAAAATAGCTTCTGGGGTGTTATCAGTATGACCAGTCCCCAGTATAACCTTGGTCACCCTGAAGTGATTCCATGCACAGGGGAGGACCCGGACCTGGTCAGGGCCATCTGCTGGCAGGGCAGGGGGTCTGACTTCCTCTGAGAGGAGGCAGGGTGGGGCCAAGGGTCAGCTGTGGACTAGCACTGCCAACTACTATGTTAGGCTGGGGTTCCTCACTGCTGGGGACGTGTCTACCACTCATGCCTGCCCAGGCTTCTTATAATCACCCGCTACTGTTAGTGACCGAGGCCGCGACACCGCACTATACCCTTTAAATCTCCAACAGGTCCGCTGGAGGAGGAGGGCAGGAGAAGCAGAGGGAAGGGGGGACGGAGGAGGTGGGAGGAGATCAAGGGGAAAAGAGGAAGGAGGGACAGGGTACAAGGAGAGAAGGAAGAGAAATTAAAAAGAGGAATGTGCCCAGAAGTACATCACCAACTGTGAAGATCAAGGGCTCAGGAGAGTGAAGAAGGCCAAACACACAGCTCTGCCCAGCCCTGGGGAAGCTGAGCAAACAGCTGGATTTTCCCAGAGAGGGAGGAAGCCCTCTATGGCCCATCTTAGGGTGCTGCCAGGCCAGGGCCTTGCAGGGAGGGGGCAGGGAAGCTAACATCTGGCCAGGCATCTGGGACCCTCAAGAGAGGCAGAACCCACCCCCCTTTTCCTTACCACACAGGTCCCTTTACTCACCTGAGCCTGGATCACTGGGGGGCACTGTCCTGCCAATGTTGGGCAGGAGGTACTCAATGTTGGGCACCGACTGTGGCTCCTTGTCATCAACAGGGGTCTGCAACCAGAAGGAAGAGTCAGGCTGCAGCCCCCAGATCGCTAGCCCTCAGGACTCTCAGGAAGCAGCAGTCTGCTGATAGGGTTCATGTCTCCTCTATGAGAGGGGCTGTCCCAGTGGGAACGGCCTGAGAATCGGTCTGACAGACCGCCCACAGCACTGCGTCCAGTCGCCCCACCGGGACAGAACCCCAAAGGCTCCCTTAGCTGAGAACAAGAGCTGAATTATATTCTACATGCTAAATATAGGGTTTTCTCCATGTTTGATCAGTATCGCCCCCATCAGATTGTTGCTCCTGAAGGGAAGGGCTGTGTCTCCTCCATCAGACTGTAGGTGCCTTGGGCAAACATCGTCCCTTGCTTAAAGATTTTTTAAAAGATATTATTTTTACATTAACTTTTTATATGTCTGGGTAGTTTGACTACATGTGCATCAGATACCTCCATCACTGGGATACAAATGGCCATATGGGTGCTGGGACTCAAACCTGGGTCCTCCGGAAGAGCAGCAAGTGCTCTTAACCACTAAGTCATCTCTGCAGCCCCAGCATTCAGCATATGTAATTATTTGTCTGCATGCGCTTTTGAGCATTTGGATGCAGTGCCCAGAGAGGCCAGAGGGGCGGGCCATGGGAAGCGCTGGAGGCGGTTATGAGATCTGCACATGGGTGCTAGGAACCACGTTCAGGTTCTCTGCAGGAACAGTAGGTGTTCTTAACCCCTAAGCCATCTCTCCTCCACAACACGCATCTGAATCTTGCTGCTCCCCCTCCCCCAGGACAAGGGTCATCTCAGACCAGACCCCGCCCACCCACTCGCCACTTACTCTCTCTCCTTTGTCCTCGTCATCACTGAAGAACCAATCAGACTGCAGAGGAGACAAAAGACGTGGTGAAATTAGCAAGAGGAGAGCAGAGAGAAAATGAAGACTTAACCTTCAGGCCAAAGGACCCACAGTCCCAAAGGTGACTCCTCTTCCGAATAAGTCCTCAGAGAGGAGGCTCAGGCAGCTCCACCAGCTATGAGGAACCCCTTACAGGGAGACCAAGTGGGAGCACGTGTGGGAAGGAACAGATCAGTGCTGGGGAGGGTCCACCACAATCAGGCGACTGATCCTGATTGTGGTCCATGATGGTCCACGCCTCATAGCCAGCCAAAAAGCCTGGTTGGCAGCTCCCTCTAGTGGATGCTGGGTGCACTGATCATGTTGGGGAGCCAGATCACAGCTGGAGGTGAGGGTGCAGGGCTTCTATCATCCCTGACTCCACGTTGATACCTGGGGTGTTACACTTTAACCAGTGAAAGAAAATATCTGGAAACAAGCATTAGCTTCCCTCAAGGTCAAACTGGCAAGACCTTTTTAATAGATGCCAACCACACTTGACCCGTTGGCTTATATCTGCAGGGAGCCTGGGGCTAGAGAATTTGAGTTCAAGGGTAGCCCAGGCTACCCTGTGAATTCCAGTCCAGCCCGGCTACAGAACATCTTGCCATTTAGAACAAGTTAAAATACAAGTGAACCCCCAGCCTCTGGAATCTAGAGGTTTGTACTGCTCACAAGTAACTGAGCAACATGAAGTCAAAGTAACGTCTCCTATCTGTGCCACTCTGAAACCAGAACATTTATATCCTGCTAAACTCTCATTTAAATTTAAGGATAAACCCAGGCATACTGGTGCATACCTATAATCCCAGCACTAGGGAAGCAGAAGCAGGAGGAGGCAGGCCACAAGTTTGAGGCCTGCCTAGTCAGGCCAACTAGGACTGCATGACATCTTGTCTCAAAAAAAAAAAAAAAGTAAAATAATTTGCAATATATATGATGTCATTTTTCTTTTTTTGAGACAAGGCATCCTGTAGCCCAGACTAGCCTCAAACTCCTGGTCCTCTTGCTTCCAGCTCCCAAGTGCTGGGGTCATAGGTGTGAACCAGCACATCTGGTTCTAAGATATCTTTAAAATACTAGAAGGACACCTAGCAGCTGGGGAAATGACTCTGTGGAGTGTGTGGGCACCCGTGTGAAGACACAGGCACAGCATGGTGACACAGCTTTAACTCTGGCACCGGAGAGCAGAGGCAGGGATTCCTGAGCAGCAGTCTAGCTGACTCAGTGAGCTCCGGGTTCACTGAGAGACCTTGCTAATAATGATGTGGAGAGTGATGGATGCTGGATGTCTGTCAACTTCTGGTCTCCAGATGTGCACACACAGATAACAGTTCACAGACTTGCAGGAGACTAGAAAAATGCTGAAGCGGACTGAACAGATAAAAATTAAGCAGGTGCTAGAGAGATGGCTCAGAGGCTCAGAGCACTGGAGGCTCTTCCAGAAGACCCAGGTTTGATCCCTGGCATCCGCATGGCAGCTCACAATCAGCTGTAACTCCAGTTCCAGGGAATCTGGTGCCTTCTGGCCTCTGCAGGCACCACACACACATGGTCAACAGACACTCATGCAGGTAAACAAATAAAAATATTAAAATATATTTATGCAAAAATGTTAACTCTTTTAGCAACTCATTAGACAAATCTGAACTAGTAAACATACTCGGGGCCTGGCCCTCAACCATTGAGAGAAGATGCATTCTTCTAGAACATGCATGAACCATTCAAAAGCCCAATCTACCCTGCGTCACCGCAGGACTCCAAAGGTTCCTCAGCATCTACACTGCACAGTTTATGTACCAACAATGGAGTAAAATGAGAACTGGTGATAAGCTTACAGGAGCTAACACCCTTCCAGAGTTCACACATGGAGAATCATGTTATGGTATGCAGAACTATATCACAATAACCGCATTCCACACGAAAACCTGCAGAGAAACCCTAGTGGTCCATCCATCAGTCTGAATGGCATTTAGACAAAGCCATGTACGAAACTGATGATAAAGTGGGGAACAGGTTTCTCTCTATAGAAGATGTTAAGAGTAGGCAAAGACAGACCAGAGAATAGAAAAAACGTATTTGCAGAGACAGTTGATAAAAGTTTCCCAGGTAAAATATACCAAGAACTCTTGCAACTCAAAATAGGAAAATAAACAAAATGGGCCAAAGACCTGAACATCACAAAAGAAACCACAGATGACAAATGAGGACAGGAGGGTTGGGGCTGCAGCTGGGCAGCAAAGCCCTTGCCTAGCACATGTGAGGCTGTAGGTTCAATTCCAAATAGGCCAGTGTGGGGATTGAATGAGGCCACTTGTGGGGACACCACGGGGACACACAAATGAAAACTACACAGTACCACCACACAGCCCGCAGGAGGAGGGCGACGATATTAACTGCACTGGACAACACCAATACTGACAAGAACCGAACAAGGCTGAGGGACCAGGAGACAGAGGTAGGTGGATCCCGAGTCTCCCAGAGGATGCAGAGTTTAAGGACAGACTGGGTTACACAAGGATACACTGCATGAAAGAAAGGAAAAGAAAAAAAAGAGAAAAGGAAAGGAAAGGGAAGTGAAGGAAGGGGAAAGGGAAGGGAAGGGAAAAGGGAAGGGAAGGGAGGGGAGGGGA